CTGAAGGACTGTGCGTTTTATTAATCTTTTTTTTTTATTAAATTTGTGTTTTTTGTCCTATTTTTACCCTATTTATCCAATCCAAAAACCAGACATTTGCAGCTAGAATAGTCATTTACCACATTAGCAATGTATAGAGTGTATTTCTTTAAAGTTAAGACTAGTTTAAAGTTATCTTCATTGATAAGTACAGTGCTTTTCCTTCAAAAATAAGGACATTTCAACGTGACCCCAAACTTTTGAACGGTAATGTGTATATTTTTTGCATTATTTTTTTACATTTGCCATTACTATAACAGCTTTTTGATAAAGCTGCACAGGATACAAGTGACATTAATTATGTAAAAAGGTTCTGATAGAATATTTTTATCAACCCCCCCACCACCACCACCACCACCATGGACTGTTCTCCCTGCTGCCCTCTGGAAAGAGACTTCACAGCATTCAACACAGGTCCAGTTGTACAGTTTCTTCCTCACCGCCATCAGACTGCTGATCTGTTAAATAAAATGGGTTATAAAAAAACAAAGCAAAAAAAAAAAAACCTAAATGTTGGAACTGTAACTATACAGTTGTATGTTTAGATCACTTTTTGTTCACCACAGTGGGTTTTTTTTCCATCACAATGTTTTTATCACTGCTGCTAACCTTTATCATGGCTGCACTTTAAAAAATGAAATGAAATGTTTGTTTTGGGGGTTTTTTATATGCAAACCTAGAGTATTAACATAATTTCTTACATCCACTCTTAAAACCACTAAGAAAAAAATTGATAAGAGAGAAAAATGTGTGACAACCACCACAACCAGGGGCGGAGCTAAAAGGGGGTCCAGGGCAGCCATGGCTAATCTTTGGCTAACCTGGTGATCTGTTGTTTCTGTCGGAACATACTTTACAACCTCCAGAACAAGAAGTTCCCCTCTAAACCGGAAGGTGGCAGCAGTGATAGTCTCAGGTGGAACGTTCTCACTAACTATATAGTTCTATAGTATATTAGAAAAAATGACAGTGATTATCTAAATACTCTCATAAAATAATACAGTTAAATGATTGTTTGTCTCTGTGTTGCCCTGTGATGGACTGGAGACCTGTCCACGGTGAACCCTGCTTCTCACCCATTGACCACCACTTGCACCAGCACCCCTCGTTACCCCACTTGAGAGTAAGCGTGTCAGTGGATGGATGGATTGCTATGATGGAAAAGATTTGTATAGCAGATGTGCAGCAAAACTGTGATTTTATATGCAGTTTATGAAGTTAAAAAGAAGCTCGATTAAAAGCTTTAGAAAAGCATGTTTCTTCAGTAGAAATACGTTTTATTCATCAGCAACACAACAAGCTGCCATGACATCTACCTGTTTTACATCACTGATGGATTTCACTGCAAAAAATTGAAATATAAATAAGTCAGGTGGTCAGCTAGGCCAGGTACCAGGCCCAGCTGACACCTGCTGATGTTTATCTATTTATAGAAATGGCCAAAGCACAGTCACATGGTGTTTCACCCAACTTTCGAATGGGGCTTTAAAATTTCTAAATCAGATTTCAAAATATTTTTTTTAAACACTTTTTGTTTTAAAGCTGTGTAAACAAATAAAATGAGATTTAAAATTCCACCTGATATGTGTGACTCTGTGGGAGTAATGTAACAGCAGGTATTCATTTTTAGCCCAGCCCCCTAATGGCCGCCATCATTGGAAACTAGAGGCTCTGACCTTTCCAAGGAGGGAACATAGGTCATTGTGCGACCATTTTAGGAGATGTAACCGGCATGCGTTACATAAGCTTGCTCTGTTATTCTTATTTTCTATTCAGTTTGATGATATTATTGGTAAATTTCAATGAAAGAACGACTAAATCCCAGAAGAAAAGGTTTTCCCTTATGCAAAAGGTATCCAATAATGGAAATCAGCATATTTGTCTGACCAGATTCCCTTTTATGAGTGGAACATATGCATTTTTGCATAATTTGGCCACTTTTGGAACGACTGTGCCAAAATCCCATTTCCGCCTAACACAAACATGCTTTAACTCATTCAGTCCAATTTAGCTTAACTTATACTCAAGATGTGGATCTATAAAGTCTGAGTTCATCCAGGGTTTCAAATGGGCTTCATGGTGTTTTGCAGTCTTTATTTTGGGGGAAAAAATTGGCAAGGCTAATTATTTTTCATTTTTTCTTTGTTTAATCCCTTATAAATCAGACATGGTGACATTTAAAATAGTGCTTCCAGCTGTAGAATATTCCTAAATGCCTTTCTGTCATACAAATACAAACAATTGTATTTCCAATGTATAGTTTGGGAGCTGTTCTTGCTTTAATTCACATGGAATTAGCTCCTAAGACCCTCAGGGCTTAAGGGGTTAAAATAAGTGCACTTTTCTTGATCTGAGGAGGTAAGTTTGCCAATTTACATCTAGAATAATTAAAAAAAAAATAACATTTGCAGTCTGTTATGTAAAGTGCATATTATCTAGTTATCTTATTTCAAGAATAGAAGTGCTAATTCCATTGGCAGATCATATCATTTAACTACTCAAATTAGAAAAAAAAAGAAAGTAATTCAAGAATTTTCTACGCATTTCTTGATCTTTTTTCAGGTGTGTATTTTAGCTTAGAGATGTTGGAGTGACATGGTTTATTCTTAGGGATATTCAGGGCAGTTCTAGATACTTTCCCTTCTTCGGTTCAGCCATGATGCAGGTTGATGATGCCGAACGGCTCTTAGGGTGGAGGAACAGGGAAATGACCTGAAAGAGAGGGACCCATATGGTCTACTTTTCAGATTTCTGGCAGCATGTGATGTCTTTTTGACCGCAGGTCCCAAACCACATGCCAGTGCAGGTAGTTACAGAAAAGCTGCCAGGTGAAAGTATTTTAATCACCTTTGAAATGAGTGATTAGAATAATTATTCCATGGGAGAGGGATGGCTCCTGCTATTAACAACCCTCTGTTCAATATCACAACAAATTAGTTCATGCTCATTAGTATGAGTTGTGCTTGCCTAGTGGTTTGGAAAACCTCCTTTGGGAACTTGCTTTATTACTCCCTGTGTGAGGAGCATGTAATTAACATTCATCAACTGCTATGTTTATAAAGTAACCACCCCACCCCTAAGAATATAACCCTGCTGTTACTAAAGTGTAACAAGCCAAATCATGGAGGCTTTTGGAATTTATCTTGTGAAATTAATCTCACAATGTATTTATTGTAAACAATGTTTCTAAATGCATCAATTAGCATGCTGTGTTTACAGAATAAAGAGCAAAATATGAGCAACAATATAAAGTATACGTTGATGGTTGCTGGGTAACTCCCCTCATGTTAAGGGTCTGATCAGAGTCCAGAAAAATACACATTAATATCTGATTCCCAATAAGTAAAAAAAAAAAAAAATCCATTAGACTTTGTTTCCTAGTTTAAGACATTTGTCTTCCCATCTAGGAAGCTTTTTCAATTCAAAATGTCAGAAATAGCATTGAGTTTGAGGCTTTACACTGCAAAAATGATCTCGAAATAGGTCAACATTTCTTAAATTAAGTGTATTTACTCTTAATTTGAGGAGATAAATAAGATGATTTGTGAATGGAATGAGTATTTCTACTTTTAAAGTAAGATAATTAGATGATATGCGCTTTAAATAAGACAATGCAGTTGTTTTTTCTAATTTTAAATGTAAATTGTCGTGTTCCATTGGCAAAGTTTACCAATGGGACACAAAGTTTAACCTACCTCCTCAATTCAAGAAAAAAAATGTACTTACTTGAAGAAATAATTACTTATTAGGATTAAAATTTTCTGCAGTGCATCCAGCAGCCCAACAAAGCCTTGTTTTTGTTTAGAAAACATGCAAATTAAAACGGATGAATGGGTCCACCTCTTTGGAATGGGGGTTGTTTGGCTTCTTTGTAAGCCTGCAATGCCTCATACCTGTCGATGTCTCTGAAAGGGGGTTGTTGGCCTGGCTGAATAGGGGTTGGGGCTGCGCTGATAGCTGGAAGGAATCAACTCTTTTGCTGCATTGTTGGTTTTTTAAAGCTGAAATCTGTTTTAGTTTGGTTTTTTTTTCTTAACATAGATGGCTTCCTTCACGTCCCTCTTAAACCACCTATTTTCTTATTTCAATATGTGAAAATTATTATCTGATGGTTTCCCTGAGAGTCTTTCTTAGGGCAAGAAGCAGACCATTTTTAAAATTTACTGCACTGGTTTCTGAAAATAAAAATAACCTATTACCTAATTCTGCCTTAGAGAAGGCAGAAAAAGATTTTACATGTATCACCAGACTCTACCGACGACATTTTCAGGGAAAATTTAAACTCACTTTTGATTTGGCCCTAAGGATGGGAGAACCCTAAAAGGATTTTTGAAAAGATTCTTGAACTGTAAACACTTTCTTTCTTTCTTTCTTTCTTTCTTTCTTTCTTTCTTTCTTTCTTTCTTTCTTTCTTTCTTTCTTTCTTTCTTTCTTTCTTTCTTTCTTTCTTTCTTTCTTTCTTTCTTTCTTTCTTTCTTTCTTTCTTTCTTTTGAAATGTTTTTATTTTATTTAAATTCTGATGAAGGGACTGTTTTTTTATCCATTTTTATATTTTTAATTAGGTCTATTATTTAAATATATATATTTTCTGCAAAAAAAATAAAAGGAGGAATTTAAAGCATAGGCTAATTTGGAAAAAAAAAACTTGTAATTTTAAACTAGTGCAACACTAGTTTAAAATTACTTCATTCTTATATTGGAACAAAAACAAATCATTTCTCATCTTGGGCTTATTATTGAATTTAATTTATTTCATTGTATTTTACTTTATTTTATTTCATTATATTTTACTTTATCTTACTTTATTTTATTTTACTTTACTTTATTTCATTTTATTTTATTTCACTTTATTTTTCTTTATCTTATTTTATTTTATTCTATTGCAGTTGTGGTTGGTGTATCGGTATTTGAATTTTCAGAAGGAAAGCCAAATCGTTAGTGTTTAGTTTCCAGGGGACAGTATTCCAGGGTGCACACACATCCTGCTGGAGCTGCCGAGCGTCAGCGAAGAATAACACCTAAAGAAGAAGGCAGCTTGGCGAGTTTAGAAGAAGTTATGTCCGGCTGTCCGGTGGACAGGGAGAAACATTTTCTAAGGATGGACGTTATTCTTCTGCTTCCGGAACAGGAGTGGTAGAGAATGTCTACGACCCGGCGCTGCTGACACATCTACGACGAAGGGTTGGATTCTCCCTGTAGCTAGCAGCAGCTACCTGGCTAGGAGGCTAAAGTAAGATGGCTAGCTGTAAGCTGTAGGCCTTGGTGGAAAAACCCCCGTTTACCTGTGACTGGAGTCAATTGGATCCTAAGTGGTAGATTGTTCCACCTTGGCTTGATAATAGGAGGTTTTCATCGAGGAAACCACCGGGGTGGTTCTCCCTGAGGCAGCAGGCAGAGGGCTGTGAGGGTTTGTTACTGTTAGCCCAGCTGAGCAGGCAGCTGTCATAACACCAGACAGACTGTTATAAACATGGCTCACTCAATAACTCACTGAATTAGACTTGCGCTTTATGGTTTTAATAACACTGCGCTTCTTTCATTCATCTTCATCTCATTTAGCCAGATCGTTTTGTTAGGCTTTTTTTCAAACAAAGTTACCAACTTTGTCTCTAATGTAGTAATATCTGTTTTTAGCAAGTTACTAGCTTATTTGAGCTAGTAATGTCTCAAGCGTTGCCACCATCTGACATGCTGGAAACACCACCTGGGTATCCGTTTGAAGAAATCAACTATGAGGACATTGAAGTTGAAGAGGTAGGATCTGGATTTGAACTAATGCGGTGATTGCTCTGATCCTGATGGTGATGAGGTTGTTCATTTCCGGTGTAGGTGGTGGGGAGAGGAGCCTTTGGAGTGGTCTGCAAAGCCAAGTGGAAAGGCAATGATGTTGCCATCAAGACCATCGAGAGCGAATCAGAGAGAAAAGCTTTTATAGTTGAGGTACTGTGGAGCTTTGCACTCATGGCATTTACACTTCATACATTACCAACATGTACATTTATTTGTCAACTGACATAAAGTAGTCTTGTATACAAAACCATAAATGTATATTATTTTATACAGAGAGAGTGTTTCTTCTGCTAAACTATATATGTGAGCAATCAGGTCAGCCTCCATTTGGTCATCTGGTTTTCCATCTCTGACTCTTTATCTGAATAATGTTAGACCACTGAAGCATCTATTATCTGTAAAAAGGTTGTTATTTTTTCAAGTCCCCGGGGATATGGAGCTGAAATGTCTGAAAGGGTTTGAAAAGGTTCATGAAGCGTTGAACTGTTAAGAGTTAAGTGCTTCAACAATCCCCACAGTTCAAGAGGCTTCACAGTGCAGAACTCAGGGTTCCCGCGGGTCCTTAAAAAGTCTTAAAAAGCATTGAATTCCTCAAAATAAAACTAAGGCCTTAATTGGTATTAAAATGTCTTAAATCAGTCTTTTGTAGGTCTTAATTTTTAAAACATCATAAATAGGATTATTTTCATTATGATTTATTTTTGTAATCTAAATAAAACATTAAAATTGACCTTTTTTTTATTTGAAGAAAATAACGACTCGCCATTATTGGTTCCGTCCCGATAGCGGAACCAATAAAAGCGTTGTTGCGGCCGGGACGTTGGGGAGATGCAACATTAACTTTTTGTCTGGAAAATATGAGCAAGTGTAAATATGATGAAAATTGTCTCCAGCCAAGAGTTTTCTCCATGGCTAAAACCAGGGAACATACATGAGGCTCAGTGGATTTATGCAAGAAGTCATTCAAGCTCAGAACGATGGGAATTAAGGCAGTGGAGTCGCACATGCGAAGCACGAAACATAAAGCGTCAAAATGAAGTTACAGAGAAACAGCCGGTATTTCTCAGTTTAGTTCCACCCTTGTCTCTGCAACGCCTCCACTTATCACCAAATCAAACATACTAAGAAAACCATACAAAGAAAAATGGCTGCAAAAAAAGACTGGTTATGCTGTGGCTTTAAAACTGATTGTTTTGTTCCCTGCTAAAACAAAGTTTTTGAATTCAGTTAAATAGTGCAGTGGTTTATGTTAAAATAAACCTTTGGGTTAAGTTGTCGCAAGCAGGTTTTTCTTGTGTTTCTTGTGAATTTGGTCTTAAATTTTTATTTCAAGTGACATTAAAAAGTCTTGAATTTAACTTGCCTTATGCTGTAGGAACCCTGGAACTACAGTTAGTAATATAATCTGTGATTTTCTGCAATTGATTTTCTTGTTTTTCTTTCCTTTTAAGTTCCTTTGAAATAGTTAATAATTGGTGTGTATAATACACTCTTCTGTAAGTTTTTTTTTGTGTGTGTAAAATGTCTTAGAAGAGAAAAATCAGCTTCACAGTTTTTCTGCCATTTTAGTTAAATAAGCTCAAGCAGAAAGTAAAAGTTCTTGTGCAAATTGGGCAATGATGAACAAAATGAAAGGTTTTAGTCATTTTATTTAAAAATAATAATTTCCCCTCAGTTTTTGGTTTTAATCGGGTTGGAAGTTACGTGTACAACCAATCTTATGGTTAAACCAACCATTAAACTAAAATACTGTATTATTGCAACTTTTAAAAGTCTAAGGCGGGTCTTGAACCATCAACCTTAGGAGTGAAAGCCAATGACTTAAAGCTCCCCTAGCCCTGATAGCTTTTCACTAGAAAGCAGAACAACTTAACACTGATGTGGCATCTGTAACCAGCGGCTCGCTCAGATTCTGATCATCACATTGTTTAATCTAACCAAACTAGTTTTAACCAACTAGATTGGTTGGAAAAACAACCAATCTATTCTTGGAATATATCCAAACTCTATCCAACTGACACCAACTCTCCTACAAACTTCCACATCTGGACTGAATACTGATGCTGTTTAAATGTCTGAAGCACTTCCTGAAGCGCTCATGTCACGGTATAGAGGCTTCGAACGTCATCTATTTTGGCTCCTTTGCTAAATAAATCGACCCTCAACACACGCTTCGGGGAAAATGCCCGATCCGTTAGTCGACAAACGGCTCGAAGCCTCGGCTCATCTCATATCATCACTAACTGAAAGGTTAAGTTCATGTCTACAGCTGACATCAGACTACAGTTGGATTTTATAGTCGTTGTGATGCTTCTAGTTCATCGAAGGAATACAAACAGTTGTTGCTCCATTCCTGATTTCTATTGGTTTTATATTTCTCACACTTAAGTATTTCAGGGCATACAACAAAAGAAAATGATAATATGAGTGAAAGACAAAAACATAAAAACTGAAATTTGAGTTTTTAAATGAAGGATTTTATTATTAATTTGGGGAAAAAAATCCAAAACTAGGTGGTCCTGTGTGAAAGTGCTTTTACAGCGTTTTACAGAGTAAGACGCTGTAAAAGCAAAAGAGATCCACCAACATCTCTGATTCTGAGATGTTGGTGAATAAAACAAGCAGAGGCTTTAATAACTGTGCTTTAAGCTGCATTTCTTATTGGTGTGGAGGAAGTCAGATACTAAGGAGGAAATGGAAAACATTTAAGATAAAAAACTTTATCATCTGTCAATCTGCTCTATCCAGAACTCCTCAAGTGGAGAGTTTTTAGTTTCATCCGGTTTAATCTTGTAAAAAAGCTCCTTTAAGGAACTTTTTGCTATCTGATTATTAATCGAATTAATTGTTAGTTGCAGCACCTCTATGGATACAAGAAAAAAAACTCTCCAATATCAGCCGGTGTTTTGTCAGCCAGCAGATCCACAGTCAGAAACCGTTTATCTCTTTAGTTATGTATGAAAAATAAACTTTAAACTACTCCAACGGGCGTGGATCCCTTTAGTTATTTACAAAAAAACAATTTAATGACTTACTTTTTGGTGTTTTTTGAAGCGTATGGCAATCTAACCTTAAATAGTTTTCTCTGTACATGAATAAAGGGAAACGCGACCATTGAAGTAGTTTAAAGTCTATTATTTGTACAAAACTAACGGGATAAACGCAAATCTGACGTATTGCGCCTGCATATTGACTATGGGTATGCCGGTCTGACAGAATACCAGCCTGAGGTATTGCTGGCTCTCTAACTTTGGCCCCCTGGCCTACCTCAGGTTACACATCACTATCATTATTGTATCTATGCTTCTTTTTCTATGTCTGCTTCTGTCTCCTTGAACCCCAGTGGGCCTCAGCAGATGGCCGCTCACACTGAGCCTGGTTCTGCTGGAGATTTCTTCCTGTTAAAAGGGAGTTTTTCCTCTCCACTGTCGCTACAAGCATGTTTAGTGTCAGGGATTGCTGAAGAGTCAATGAGTCGATGCAATCAACTAGTTTTCCTCAGATAGAAAACTTTGAATCAATCTGACTGGATGATCTGGTGAACTGGAAAGTGCCTTGGGATGACATGATGTGAATTGGCGCTATAGATATAAACTGAATAGAATTGAATCCTTAGCGGACACTCGCTAACCTTTGCTGCTTTTTTCTCAGCAGCATCTTATATCGTATTCTGTTGTACTTCCTGTTTTTCTGCTAGTCAAGCACTTTAGAAATCATGCCTGTGTGATGGCAGCCACTTTCACTAGCAGCTCTTTTATCAGTTGACCTCATCCACACCACAGAGCAGCCAGAGAAAGGCCGGCTTTCTCTCTCATCCTCTCCTTATTTCCCCTGTCAGTCGTTAAAATGTGTTCGCTGTGTGACCAGAGGGTCTGACCTCTTCGTTTCTTCCTCCTCTTCAGCTCAGGCAGCTTTCACGCGTGAACCACCCCAATATTGTGAAGCTGTATGGCTCCTGTAAAAGTCCGGTGAGTTGAATAATGTATCAGGACGCACTTTTCAGTTTTCTGTCAGGCTTATGGAAAGTTTCTTCTCTCCTTTAGGTCTGCCTCGTCATGGAGTATGCAGAAGGTGGATCATTGTACAATGGTGAGTCCACATGCGGTTCTACAGAAGCTCTAATGGCGTCTGTTGAACAGCCCTTTAACTGGATGCATGATCAGCACAGCCACCTGCAGTGTTTGTAGCACTGTTACTCTTTCCAGATATTTAAATGCACCCTGGAAAGATGTGAGACAGAAAGAAGTCTGAGTGCAAAGGATCTGCTTTTGTCCTCTTGTATGTGTGTGTTAGATCTGAGTCAATAAAGCTCCTTTCACACCTTGCTGATTTATCCAGCGTCTGCCTGACGTCCCAGAATCTCCTAAAACTCTGGCATACGCTGAACTTTCTATGGATTTTTTTCTATTTTGGGCGTATACATGGAGTATTAATAATGAGTCCAGAACTTCTGTCCAACGACTTCTGCATAACGCACGGCAGCATAAAGCCCATAAAATGATGGTTTTGCATCATTTCTGGCCTGCATAAAAATATGTCTTTTATCGCGGTATTAACCTAGCTGCTGTTTACCACCCGCCAAAAAAAAAGAATAAATAAAAATAAATAAAGAAAGAAAGAATATTTTTTGTGCCAGCAGATTGAGCGTCATGTCTGCTAGGAAGTGTGTTGGTGGTGGGCGTGAACGTAGGGAGGATCCATCACCCTCCCCTTCTGGCTCACCCTATGATGGGGATGAAGTCTGGAGGAGAACTGATGGTTTCCTCCTGTGAACCCCCTTTATACCAAAACGCTGCCAATACGCCATTATACAGTAGCTGGAAGTTAGAAACACGTTCAGCGCTCGTCTGGAACACGTCAGATACCTTGATATGCTTGGAGAGAAGTTCTGGATAAGTTACGCAGAGGTTTAGGATCAGCTAGACGCCACAACTGATGAGGAACTTAAAGGAATAGTACACCCAAAACATGATTAGCCTTCATTTTCTACTCACCCCCATGCTGAACAACACTCTGGAGTACTTTTTTGATATCTCAAATGCATCTGGAGATCTGGGAGGCTTCTTGCTGTCTGCTGACATTCAAATAATGGAGGTCTATGGCGCCCGAGACAGAAAGGTCCATAAAAGTCCACAAAAAACGTGTCAATATTCCTCCATACTGGTCGTCCAATGTATTCCAAGTGTCCTGAGTGGGTAGCGTCCATAATTTACTCGAAACGAAGTCATTTAGAATGTTTTTAGAGCATAAACAGTAGTGTATAGGATTTCCTGAAAGCGCGCACCTGCGCGTTCACGGCGCTACGGAAGCCGCGGCAGACCAAACCAGATGAAAGTGCGCATTCAGCGTCTGCTCTGCCGATAATGCAAGCGTAGAAGAAGAAATGTGCTGTTTACCTGTGCAAAGAAAGAAACAACGAAAGAAAAATGTCTGAGGACTTCAGTGTTGATGAAGAGCAGGAGTTCTTTGCCGAGCTGAATGCGCACTTTCATCTGGTTTGGTCTGCCGGCTTCCGTAGCGTCGTGAACGCGCATGTGCGCGCTTTCAGGAAATCCTATACACTACTGTTTATGCTCTAAAAACATTCTAAATGACTTCGTTTCGAGTAAATTCTGGATGCTACCCACTCAGGACACTTGGAATACATTGGACGAGCAGTATGGAGGAATATTGACACGTTTTTTGTGGACTTTTATGGACCTTTCTGTCTCGGTCGCCATAGACCTCCATTATTTGAATGTCAGCAGACAGCAAGAAGCCTCCCAGATCTCCAGATGCATTTGAGATATCAAAAAAGTACTCCACGGTGTTGTTCAGCATGGGGGTGAGTAGAAAAAGAAGGCTAATCATGTTTTGGGTGTACTATTCCTTTAAGGGCTGGTTCTCCTCCCGCAGCAGCTTGTCTCAGATATTTCTGAATTTATGCTCAATATTGAAGTGTGGTCTGCGCTATGTTATTCCACGCCACAACACGAGAGGGACTATCAGGAACTAGCTGTGGGTCTAGATACGGCCGAAGGGGTGAGGAAGTGGAGGCAAGTTTGGGCGACAACGGAGGGACATGAGGGCCAAAAATAGCGTGGAAAAAGGTTCCCAGCGTTCTCGCGCCCCTCGCTCTTCTAGCTGGTCCAACATCACATCTTTTTACACAATGGCGGTCAGACAAACAAAAGAAGGCGTTAAGGTACGGAACACGCATAGAGTAGATTGGATGTAGATTTGACCAATCAGAGGCCTCCTGTTTGCGGCCACCTACAATATGGGAGAGGTGCAGCAGAGTGTCTGTGGAGGGGGCGGGAACGTCTCTGCGTTCACCGCGACACACATGCAGACGAGCTGGCAAAGGATAAATCAGCCTTTTCACTGAACGTATGTCAACCATCAGATAACTGAGCTGGAACTAATGGCCCACAGATGGCAGACGCTGGCATGCAGCGTATGCTCATACTTGACGTATGTGGACGTGTTTCAGCGTACCCATGACTTATCCAACGTATGTCAGCGTTTTTTTCTAGATTTTTCGTACGTCAGGCATACGCTGGTCTAAATCGTCACGGTGTGACAGCAGCTGAATGAACTGAATAAAGTTTATATTAAACCCTGACTACTGGATGTTGGCTTGAACCTTGGTTGAATGGAAATGTGTATCTTCTGGGTTATTGGATAGAAATATGTAAGAATTTGGTCCTTTTACAAGAAACAAATATGTTCATTTTACATAAAATCTTTAATTAAAATAATAATGTTTGCATGCTGCCTTGTTTTCCGGATGTTTCCGCATTTTTCTATTAAAGAGTCTGGATCCCTGTAGGTCTCAGGCTGGTGCTTCGGCCCCCACTCTCCCCTCCTCTAAACACGGGCGTACACAGTTCGATTTTATATCCTTTTTTGGGTCGATTCTTCAGTTGTGCGAGAATTTTCCGATCGGGTCGACTTTCACCCTGATGGTGCATGGTATAGTGTACAGGGGGTAACGAGGGGCGATCAGCCCCTAACGACCACCTCCCCATCAGGAATCTTAAGGTCGGGAGAAAATCAAACATGTTGGAATTTCAGTCAGCTGTTGTAAGGTGGTCGTAGGCTAATCGCTCAGTGGGCAAACAAGGATTCTTCTTCTTCCTTTCAGATGAAAACCCAGCAGCATGGCCAGGAGTTCTTTCTGTCAGATCAGATTAGATTAGATTCAACTTTATTGTCATTACACAGGTACAGGTACAAGGCAACAAATACAGTTTAGGCCTAACCAGAAGTGCAATAGCAGCAAGTGCAGGATAAATAATGGTTCCATAAGTACAGGACATGGGTTCTACTGAATGAGTATAGAGATGAATACTGTTATAAACATAATTACACTAATAGATTTGTCCCATGAATATATATATATAGATGACTAGTGTTGTGAACTAAATTTACAGCTGGATATGTACCGAATATAATATACAGGTGGATATTACTATAAATAGGCTTTTTACAGATTTTATTTTATTTTTTTTACAGATATGTAAACTGACAGACTGTAGTAGCCATGTTTGCTCAGCCATGTCTTTGTCCAAATACGTGGTCTCCTTTTCTTTTTAGGGCTTTCAGCACAGAATCGCACAAATTATCAAGGCAGCGTGTTTCACTCTAGTGAGCTTCATATTCCTCTTCTACTGGTTTGGCTTCTGGATAGACCAGTCCCAGTAGCGCCATCTCACTGTGGAGCTGAGTCCACCTGGTTTTATACGTACAGTATGAGCAGGTAGATCGCATCAGAGCGTCGGGTCGCACAGCGTGAGAACAAAAATTGTGAGCTGTGAACTTTTAATCCCTGCAGGTTCATCGTACAGTGTGAGCTGTAGCTGCATGCGATGATTGAAAACATCGTACAGTGTACGCCCGGCTTTAAAGATGAGCTCTAACTGTAGCTAGTGAAGCGTTATTACAGTGATATGAGCTCTAATTGGTTTCCATTCAACAATCTCTTCTTCTCTGAAGTCACTGATCCTCTGTTATGGAGGCAGAACGTTGATGTTTTTGGTTCTTCCGCACCGATGTTCTCGGTTTGGTCTTTTCTCCCATCTGAAGCAGCCGCAGCGAGGAGACGCTCGGCCTCGTGTGTTCGGTCCTTTGTTGGTTCCACATGTTTGCCACTGCACTGAACACCTACCCAACCCAATTTGCTGCCTGGTTGTGGTTTTGTTGTCCATTGTGTTGGTTTGTGACTGTGTTCTCTTGTTCACAGTGCTGCATGGTGCCGAACCCCTCCCCTATTACACTGCTTCCCATGCCATGAGCTGGTGTTTTCAGTGTGCCCAGGGCGTGGCCTATCTCCATGGCATGAAACCAAAGGCTCTCATTCACAGGGACCTCAAACCACCTAAGTATGCTCCTTCTCCTCACTACACACTCTCTCTCTTTTCACCATCACAGGGGGGCAGCGATGCGCCCTGAGGGCCCCGCCTGCATAATGTCTTTGATCACGGTATTAACCTAGCTGCTGTTTACCACCTGCCAAAAATAAGAAGAATAAACAAAAATAATAAAAGAGGTTTTTTCGGCAGTAGACTGAGCGTTGTGTCTGCTAGGAAGTTTGTTAGTGGTGGGCGTGAACAGCATACGCTGGAATATGACGCTGGATTTTGCTAAAAAAATTTTCACTGTATGTCGATGTGTTTCAGCATGTTTCTACATGCTTGTGACTTATACAAAACGTACCCATAACTTATCCAACTGTTTAAGGAAAAATCTGTTTCCACCTTGAAACTTTCTCTCTCCGGTTCTTTTTCCTGAAGAGAGATCACTCAGGACAAACTCTGTAAATAACACTTCATAATGTTTATGGATTAAATAACCAGGAGACACGACAACAGGTTCTGATAGAAATTATAATCTTGCTCAGATCAGAGAGGTTACTTAGTTCTGCTGCGTTCACACCGAACACAGCAGAAGCAGCGAGTTTACATGCAAAGTCAATGGTTGACGCACATCAAGGCGCAGCAAAAGGTCCCTTGGCGCGTTATGAGCAGCAGGCGCAGCGCGTCTAAGCAGCTGAAGCAGCACGTCGGGAGCGTTTAAGCATCTGACGCGCCGCATCAACCAATCAGAGACGCTGATCTGGGAGCTGACAGGGAGACAAACACAACGCTGATGATACAGAGCGCTATGATCTCTCCTCTAAAACTGTTTATTAATGCCTAAATTAACTTCAAATGCTGAAAGCTGCCGGCAGAATATGTTCGCTTTTATTATCCTGGTGCCTGCAACCGCTTTTTTCAGATAAACTACTATTAGATGAACTACCGAGGGAAACATCAGTTCTAACATGCAACAGGCAGCTAATATTAAGGTGTAATGAACTCACACATCATCAGTGATAATTATCCTAACCCCACGTATTCCAGCGTTTTGGCCCGTTTTCTGGTACGTCAGACATACACTGGTCTAAATCGTCAAGATTTGACACGGCCCATACCTGATTCTCTTTTTTAATGGTTAAAGTTTCCCCTTCCTTACCAGCAACAGTGCTGTAGAGCTGCTTGTAGCCTTAGGGGAGCTCCAGGTATGGCGCCCCTAGTGGCTAAACATGCACAGTGCTGTTTTATAATAGTGTTTTAGTCTGTTTGATAACCGCAAACTGTCAAACATCTTTCAGAGCAAAGAGGGATGCGAATAAATCATCTGCTTTCCTCTAATATTAACTCTGCCTGAAATTAAAAAAGGCTCCGTTTAGGATCTAATATTAGCCTAATGAGTGTTTTTATGAAGGAAGAAAGAAGCTAATGAGAAAGGATTATGTCTATAAGAGGCTGTTTTAAAACATTTCACCGTTTCTTTCCTTATTACCTGTATCCTGTGTTCAGTCTGCTCCTGGTGGCAGGTGGGACGGTGCTGAAGATATGCGACTTTGGAACAGCTTGTGATATTCAGACCCACATGACCAACAACAAAGGAAGCGCAGCCTGGATGGCCCCCGAGGTATTTGAAGGCAAGTAGAAGTGGCGTTCCCGCTGCTTTGCTCCATTTATTTCAACAGAATGCTTCCACATTTGTTTGCGTTTTTAATGCATTTATTTCTCTCTGAATCCCCTCCGACCTGTTCCAGGCATTTATTTTTCTTTCTTACACCTAACTTCGCTCTGGCACTTTTCACTTAAATTGCATGTTGGCGCTGCGAGCATGGATGCATTAATCGTTGCTTCCTCCTCAGCCGTCGTGATCCTCTGCTTTATTGATGGTAGTAGCTAAAGCAAGGCGAGAAGATGGATGGTTTGATACTTTTGCCTTTATTTCCCCAGGGACACTACAGTGTGGAATTTGTGTTCTCATTCAGCCAGGAGCCTAATGTATCGCTAAATGATGAGACATGTTCCTGGCGAGAGGGTCAGGAGAAAAGATGAAATAACATCTAGTCATTATCTTGTTTTTGGAGGCGAGATCCGCGTCTCGAATGCAATTAAACAACTTACTCCTGGCCTCTGCGTGAACTCCTCGCAACTAATTTGCATGGGCGTGAAGAGCAATCAAAAGCACCGACACAGCAGGTTTAAAATAGGTTTGTGAAGCGCTCTTTTTTTCTTCAACAGAGGCCTTGTAATTAAGCAACACAGGAGCTGTTCATCAGTGAAAACGTTTGCATGTCTTCATCCTTCGCCCTCCTGAAAGCGCAGAGGAGCTGGAAAACTGCTCTTCTGCTGCTCTGCTTTTCTTGGGCACATCTTTCTCTCTCGTCTCCAAACTGGCCACAGAGAATTAGTTTCATCAGTCATCACTATGAGTGTGAGCGTCTGCTCTGTTTGAAAATGTTCTGTGGGTCCCCTCTGTGTTTGCAGGCAGCAATTATAGCGAGAAGTGTGATGTTTTCAGCTGGGGGATCATTCTCTGGGAAGTCATCACTCGCAGGAAGCCCTTTGATGAAATCGGTGGACCGGCTTTCCGGATCATGTGGGCCGTTCACAACGGTGAGTCACACTGTGGGGGCGGGGGATAAGGAGCACACTCTGAACACAGAGTGAAATTTTGAAAATAATTCAGTTACTTCCAAATAACAAAGCTCCCGGTCCCGATGGATTCAGCGGGGAATTTTATAAAAAATTTAGTAAAATTCTAATCTCGCCACTATCTGAAATGTTTCAATCCTCATATGTTGTTGGTGCTCTTCCCCCATCCTTAATGGAGGCTAATATCTCATTAGTTTTGAAAAAAGGGAAAGCCCCGGAAGACTGTGCCTCTTACAGGCCTATATCGGTTTTAAACCTTGACCTGAAAATACTATCCAAGATCCTGGCCATACGTTTAGAGAGTATGCTGCCCTCTATTGTTAAGAATGACCAAACCGGGTTCATGCAAGGACGATATTCTACACACAATGTTAGGCGTCTGCTTAACATAATCCAGCATTCATCCCAGTTTAGTCCGGAGGCTTTACTTATTTCTCTTGATGCTGAGAAAGCCTTCGACCGCTTAGAATGGCCATATCTCTTTTTTACACTTCAACAATTTGGTTTAGGTGATGGCTTTGTGAAATGGATACAGATTTTATACATGTCTCCTCTTTCGGCTGTTATTACTGATGGTCTCAGATCAGAGAATTTCAGCATTGGTCGTGGTAGTCGGCAGGGATGCCCTCTGAGCCCTCTGTTATTTGCTCTGGCTATGGAGCCCCTTGCAGCAGCAATTAGACAAGATGCAAGCATTGAAGGACTCTTTTTAAATAATTATCAGCATAAAATTTCACTCTACGCTGATGATGTATTGATTTTTCTAAACTCCCCATCACACTCGATTCCTAAAATTATTGAACTGATTTTACATTATGGCTCTTTCTCCGGCTATAAGATAAATTTTTCTAAAAGCGAGGCTATGCCTATTTCTGTTATACATGGGGTTGACTCAAATATTTCTCAGCCTTTTCGATGGTCCCCGTCAGGTTTCACTTATTTAGGAATAAACATCTCACCGCACCTAAAAGATCTATTCAATCTGAACTATACTCCTTTAGTGCAATCAATCAATCGTGATTTAGAAAGATGGTGCAGCCTCCCTCTGTCTCTTTTGGGTCGTATACACTTAGTCAAAATGAACATTCTACCTCGCCTTCTGTACCTATTTCAGATGTTGCCTCTTGTTTTGTCTAAAGGGGTCTTATCACAATTGAATGGTTCAATTATCTCATTTATTTGGAATAAGAAAATTCCCAGATTAAGGTATAGTTATCTTTGCTTACCTGTACGGAGGGGTGGTCTTGCCGCTCCTTCCCTTTCGTTATACCTTTGGGCAGCACAGTTTAAATTCCTTATGGAATGGTTTATCAGTGACCCTGACTCCATTTATCTGAGCGCTGAGGCCACCCCATTAAAGGGCATTCCTTTGCGGAACTTACTATATACATCCACTGAGAAAGCCTCAGTACTCATCCAAAACAATATGGTTTTAAAGAATATGATTGCTATCTGGCGTAGGGTCAGGCGGTTGGAAGGATACAGTAACTGCTTCTCCCTTCTCACTCCTATTCAAGAAAACCCTGACTTTTCTCCTGGTCTTGAAGGTGGTTTCGCAGACTGGTCTATAAAAGGGATTAAAAAGGTTGGTGACCTGGTTCATGAGGGCTCACTTCTTAAATTTAATCAGATGAGAGTTAAGTATGGTCTTACTAATAAGGATTTCTTGAAGTACCTCCAAGTAAAGAGCTTCATCAGTTCTAAATTGAGAAAGTATAGTGGGGGATTGGCTGTCTCTCCTATTGAATCGCTGATGTTAAAGACCACGCAGCTTAAGGGTATAACTAAAAAGATTTATGATATCTTAGGTGATCTTAAAACTGATAACTCTAACAAAGTTAAGCACCTGTGGGAAGTGGATTTAGGCCCTATAGAGGATGTGGCCTGGGTTAAGTTGTGTAGCCGACCCTTCAAGGCGTTAGCATCGAATTCTACTTGGGAGAGACAATTTAAAATCCTACATAGAATATATATCACACCTGAGAAGAGACATAGAATGTTTCCAGCGTTATCAAACCTTTGTAACAAATGTCAGTCTGCTGTTGGTTCTTTGTTTCATTGCCTGTGGAGTTGTCCTCATATTCTGCAATTCTGGGAATCTGTTATAGACAAGTTACGGTTAATATTTAGGTACCAACTGCAATTGGGTGCAAGAACGTGTCTACTGGGTCTGAATGATGAGCTGCCAGATAACTTTCGTAACAGGGATCTTCTACATATATTGTTACACTGCGCTCGAAAGTGTATTATGGTGTTGTGGATTTCTGATAGAGTTCCATCCATAAGCCAGTGGACACAGACTATAATAAGTATCATTCCAATGGAAGCCTTCTCTACGGCGTTGAAAAACAAACCATTTCTTTTTCACCGGACATGGGACCCTTTTTTGGACTCTTTGGATGCGTCTGTGGCTCAGAGATTGAGACTGGGTTTAATTGACTTAGCCTGGCAAAAAGAGGTCAATTCGTAGTGTTATGTTTATTTGTTTTCCGGCTTTTGGACACCTGTTATTTATTTATTTATTTTTTATTTATTTTTTTATTATATATTTTTTTTTTATTATTATAATTATTATTATTTTTTTTATTATTGTTATTATTTTTTATTTTATTTTATTATTCTTATATATGTGTACATCCCTCTCATGTGTTTGTAGAGTGTTTAATATTTGATGTTTCCCTGCTTTGCAAAAAAGTTCAATAAAAACAAATCAAAAAAAAAAAAAAAGGAGCACACTCTGAGCCATACTCCTTATCGTTACTGAGTTTCTGAGTACCAGCCTCTAGTAGTGATGTTATGAGATGAGCCAAGGCTTCCAGGCGTGTGTCGGCTAAAGGGCAGATTAGACTTCTGCCAACGCACACATCAAATGTCGCTTGGTTCTAGTCGTAAACCAGTTTTGCTGGTATGCCTCTGCACAGTCAGTCTGGAATTTCCAGGGATGCACAGCAGTTTCCAGCCAAAGTGCAAGGTGGAGCCTATTAGAGAACTCGCAAGAACTTCACATATTTATCTCTCAGTTCTTCCACCTTTGTAAACACTCCTTTGGATCCCGCTCAAGCATCTGGCTGTTCTCCCTCCAGGAGTTGGCAGAGACCTTGGCATCTTTATATAATTTTGTCTGAGGCAAGTGGTTGTACTTCGGAACCTCCTCGATTAACCTTAGTTTTCCAAGTTCTCCAAAACCGTAGTTTTCCAAAGTAGATGTTCCCCGTTTTTTTTTTTTTTTATGTCGTGCCTCGGCAACGAATCGAGAAAGACGACCATACAGACAGCCAGAAAGGCTTATCAAGGACCAATCACAGCTGCTTTTTGTCTGCGCCGGTTTGTGACCATCCTACGCACAGTCAGGATTTTTTTTTTTTACGTCCGTTACGGCGGTTGCAGTACCTCTGCACGGGAGGCGTGGTCATGCACAGAGATCGATTTGACGGTTGCAGAGGCATATATATATGTGCATATATATATACATATATATGTATATATATCAGAGATGGGAAGTAAAGAAGTACAAATACTTCGTTACTGTACTCAAGTAGATTTTTCTGATATTTTTACTTTACTTTACTACTTATTTTTATGGCGACTTTTTACTTCTACTCCTTACATTTTTACACAAATATCTGTACTTTCTACTCCTTACATTTTAAAAAATTGGCTCGTTACTTTAGTTTTGAATCATTTCAATGGAGTTACCGTTATTATTTTTCACGTCATCAATACCAAATTCAATCTAATTGGATGGGAATCTACGTTGCATTTGACGCACCACTACAAGATGAATCGACAGATCCGGCGGTATTCATTGGCGGCAAATCATTGCAGCTTGGTGGCGGTGGCGTTAGCATAGTAGTATGGACGACGAGATGATTGAAAATGAACACAACGGAGATCTAGTCCTATTGGCAGACATCCATTTAAAATTTAGGCAACGGCATGAAAAAAGTGGTTTCTACTTTTACTTTTATACTTTAAGTAAATTTACAAGCCTGTACTTTGTTACTTTTACTTGAGTAAAGAAGTTTAATCAGTACTTCCACTTTTACCAGAGTATTTTTTAACACACGTATCTCTACTTTTACTCAAGTACGGAAAGTGAGTACTTTTGCCATCTCTGATATATATGCACTAGGGCTGCAACTAACGATTATTTTAAAAATCGATGAATCGGCCGATTATTTTTTCGATTAATCGATGAATCGGACAAAAAAAAATGTTTATATTAACCTCTTTATTCCAAAATAAACATTTTAGACAGAACAAACAAGCACACAAGTACAGGTTGCTCATTAACTGTACTGGTGCAATATGAAAAATAAATGTTTGTGTTAAAACTATGCAAACTTACAGGAGAAATGTTGCTGTACATCCACAAAATATAGGGTACTTTGTTTCATAAAGCGCAAAAAGAGACAGGCATTTTTGTTTTTTAAAGCCCCTAAGGGGTTCAAACAACAGGCCCCCCCATTTCAACAAATGAGTTTTTTTTAGACTAGAAGAGTTCTGCCTTTTAAGACAGGAAAGTATAGCAGTTAAAGTTGCTGCTTGAGAAAATACTGAACCATAGAGATAAAAATAGCCCTGTGATTCAAATTATAAATTGTATTTGGAATAAAAATGAGAGAACTAGGGGTGCTAAAAAACACATCCTCCAAAGACTGATATTTACATGGGAATGTGGCAGATAATTAATTGACATATTACTGATCTTGCTGGATTTTGTTCTGCTTTACTTCCATAAATTGCAGGATCTTCTTTTCTTTATCTTTGCCAGAAGATTTAAACTTTAAAAGTCTTGCCCTCATAATTTGCAAGTTAATTTATTTATAAAGAAAATATAAACGCTGCTTAAACAAATTTAAATGAAATTAAAAGTAAAATAAGTGGCCAACCTTCTCACTGTCTGTAACCTACTAACAAGGTAAGGAAAGCATCAGATGAGCTACCTGAGAAACTAACGTTACGTTTCCCCTCTTTAAAACCAAACAAACATGGTTACTCATCCTGCTGATCAGCTCTCTTCACTGCCATTGAAGGCTCCAACGTGTTTTCTTTTCAGGTGCTGCGTCATAACAGTGGTGCTTCCGTGCCATGTTCATTTGTTTTTACAAAAGTTGCATGTTACGACTTTTTTCACTTTACAAAGCGCAGGCTATTTTAATTATTGTGATCAATTTGCGCCGTCAATCTCGGCGCATGCGCGCTTCATTTGCAGTCTGGACGCTGAGGGTAAACTCCTCACTAAAATCCTGCGGCCCTGACTGCCGCGCTGAGAGGGATTCCTGTGGGAGAGGGAGAAATGGGTTGGGATGGGGGAGGCGCCCCACGGCAGGCAAAAGCCGCCAGTGACACCGTAAAGTCGCCAGATTTGTCGCTAGTCGCTTTTTTGAAAAATAGTCGCTGGAGGGGTCTGAAAAGTCGCTGAGTTGGCAACACTGCAACTGCGGCGCTGACTCGCTCCGCCATATTTTTTTTTTCTTCCCCCGGATGACGGCGGCGGCGGATGACGCATTAATCGTGCGACACAACTAATCGATGATTAAATTCGTTGCCAACGCTTTTAAAAGTCGATTTTTATCGATTTTATCGATTCGTTGTTGCAGCCCTAATATGCACATATATACATATATGTGTGTATATATATATATATATATATATATATATATATATATATATATATATATATATATATATATATATAGTAGGGATGGAACGGTTTATGAAAACCGTCCGAACCGTTGGGTTCGACTGTCACGGTTCGTGTGTGTTGCGTTCGGTTCATGCGCTGCTCCTTTTTCTCATAGGCGAAGCGTTTACACTCCAGAGCAGAAGGTGGCGGTACTGCGACCAAAGCCAACCACCAGTAGTAAACAAGAAGAAGAAGTAGCGAAGCAGCGTAGCCGGGTGTAGCAGAAAAATAATCAGTTGTTGTGGAGAATTGTGTGGGTATGGCGAGTGGGAAAGAACAGGAGTTGGAAGTAGGGTGGCCAGATGTCCAGCTTTAGGGCGTACCGTCCGGATTTTCAGTGGACTGTCCGGCGTCCTGCGCCGCATCCAGCCGGACGTCTATTTGCCCTCCTTTACCCCCAGATTCCACATACTCCGTCAGTGCTCCGCTCCGCTCACGTACGTCCTACGGAGTACTTGTCTTTCATGTAAATCAATGAGAGCTGTTCCACATCCTCCGCTACTCCTCCGCTCGTCACCGCCCACGTACGTCTTCTCCGTCCTTCACCGTCAAAATACAGAGCTGAGCTATTTTTTGCTCCGCTCCAGTCCGTCCAGATCAAGACCTGCAATTGCAATCACACCAAACAGGAAAAAGAACGTAGAGAAGACCCGGTTTGTCAAATTAAATTATAGTAAAAACAGATTGGTAACTAGAAATTAGAGCATAGTTTGTATATATTCCCAAAAAATAATCGAAAAATTCATCGATTTGCTAAATAATCGTCAGTAGCAGCCCTACTTTAGATATAAAGCATAAAGATCAATAAGAAAACAGTCTAGAATTGGACCGTTATTAAAACAGATAAACCAGAAATAAAAATCCAGATAAACACAATAAAACTGAATAATAAAATGTAGATGCACAAGACATGGTAACAAAGCTAACTGTTGAGAGTAAATGGCTCTAACAACTGAACCGGACCGTGCCAGACACAACTGAACCGCTCTAAACTGGTACTAGTTCATCAGTAGGGCTCGGCCTGGTTCAGTTCTGGCTCAGTTCTCTGATAACAAAGATCTCATGAGCAGAACACCTCATCTTCTTACAGTCAGCCTCTGTAATCAGGGAAGCAGCTCCTCCCCCCGACAGGTTTTCATCTAGCTTACAGAACCAGAGAGCACCATGGGGAACCTACAGAGAAATAGAAAGTAGCCAGACCACTTAGAGTCTCGCAGATGAGCTGCAAGGGCTTAAAATCTGCTCAAACCCGACAACCAGTAAAGGCTTCCAGAATAATATGCTCATATTTTTCCATTTTGGATCAAATGTAGCAGCTGCATTCTGAAGCGCTTTCAGAGGAGGCAGGCATTAATCAGCATGTTGATGAGAACATCTGCTTTTTCAGGCGGTAAATCCTGTCTGATTCTGATAACGTCTCTTTGTTGATTAAAGGCAGTTCTTGTTACCTCTTTTAAACTTTCTTATTCTCTGGACCAAGGATGTTAACAGTTGGATTTTTTTTTTTTTTCCTTATGGTTTAAGGCTCATAATTGAACTTACTTGTTTATTTATTTTCTGCATTCAGGTACAAGACCGCCACTAATTAAGAATTTGCCTAAACCCATTGAAAGCCTGATGACTCGCTGCTGGTCCAAAGACCCGTCTCAGCGGCCCTCCATGGAGGAGATAGTCAAGATTATGACTCACCTAATGAAGGTAAAACATCATCTCCCGTTGCTCGGCCATCTGCACCGTCATGAACCTGAGGCAGCCTTCCACCTGCTCAGCAGCTGCAGCGAACAGAAGCTGCTAATTTACCCCTGTGGGCTGTCTCATGGCACAGTCATTTAGAAAGGAACCTTTCTCCAGACCAGTGTGGAACGAGCATATGGAGAGGGTTCAATTTCTTCCTAAATTTCCTCAGTTAAACAAGAATTTAACTTTTTGAAGCGTTTCAGCTCAGTTGGAGGGATCCATTTCAGCCCAATCATCAGTCTAAGTTGAGTTGCTTCTTTTCCCCTTTACAGGGGAACAGAAGACCTCGCCTATTCAGAAAGGCCAACAATTCCCTTTAACAACCCCCTTTCAGAGACATAGACAGGTATGGGGCATTGCAGGTTAACAAAGAAGCCAAACGACCCCCATTCCAAAGGAGTGGACCCGTTCATCCGTTTCTATTTGCATGTTTTCTAAACAAAAACAAGGCTTTGTTGGGCTGCTGGATAAAACCTGGATCTCAACACCAGTTGATTGCATCGACTCATTGAATCTCCAGCAATCCCTCACACTAAGCATGCTTGTAGTGACAGTGGAGAGGTAAAACTCCCTTTTAACAGGAAGAAACCTCCAGCAGAACCAGACTTGGTGTGAGCGGCCATCCACAAATGAAAAGGTTTAAGTTGAGGGCAGCAGTAGTTAGATGAGGCTGTGATTCATCTGACCACAGACCAACTTTCAGATGTTTAGATTAGGAACCCAGTAGGGTCTCAGAGGAGCCCAGCTACAGTCACTATGGTTTGTTTTTATTGCTTCTTGCTCCGCCTATAATCCCCTCTTAGGATCAGTGGATGCTTTTCATGCACAGCTGGTGGTATGTGAGTATTTCATGGGTTAAAACAGAATTCAGATTGTTTATTCTCTCTGGTCTCCCTCAGTACTTCCCGGGATCAGATGAGCCTCTGCAGTATCCATACCAGTATTCAGACGAGGCACCCAGCAACTCTGACAGAGGTACAGGAAAACCTTTAATCTTTCTGCTAACGATTGCATCCTGGCTTCATGCTGATGTTTGCCTTCATCTCAGTGCCCTGTCACACCTTGATGATTTAGACCAGCGTATGCCTGATGTAAGAAAAGTCTAACAAAAACGCTGGCATATGTTGGATAAGTTATGGGTACGGTTTGTATAAGTAATGAGCACGCTAAAGGACGCTGAAAAATTTTGACATACGTCAACTACGTTTTATACATGGGCCATCAGTTCCAGGTCAGGTATCTGATGGTCGTCATCCGTTCAGTGTCAGTTCCTCATCAGTCGTGGCGTCTAGCTGATCCTAAACCTCTGAGTAACTTATCCAGAACTTCTCTCCAAGCATATCAAGGTATCTGACGTGTTCCAGACGAGCGCTGATCGTGTTTCTAACTTCCAGCTACTGTATAATGGCGTATTGGCAGCGTTTTGGTATAAAGGGGGTTCACAGGAGGAAACCGTCAGTTCTCCTCCAGACTTCATCCCCATCATAGGGTGAGCCAGAAGGGGAGGGTGATGGATCCTCCTTTTTTATTTTCATTTATTATTATTTTTTGGCGCCTGGTAAACAGCAGCTAGCAGGGTTCCCGTGGGTCCTTAAAAGTCTTAAAAGGCATTGAATTCTTCAAATTAAAGCTAAGGCCTTAATTGGTATTAAAATGTCTTAAATCAGTCTTTCTTAGGTCTTAATTTTTAAAACATCATAAATAGGATTATTTTCATTACGAATAATTTTTTTAATCTAAATAAAACATTAAAATTGAAAAAAAAACATTTATTTAAAAAAAATAATGGCTCGCCATTATTGGTTCCGTCCCGATAGCGGAACCAATAAAGCGTTGTTGCAGCCGAGACATTTGGGAGATGCGCCATTAACTTTTTGTCTGGAAAATATGAGCAAGTGTAAATGTGATGAAAATTGTCTCCAGCCAAGAGTTTCCTCCATGGCTAAAACCAGGGAACATACATGAGGCTCAGTGGATTTATGCAAGAAGTAATTCAAGCTCAGAACGATGGGAATTAAGGCAGTGGAGTCGCACATGCGAAGCACGAAACACAAAGCGTCAAAGCGTAGTTACAGAGAAACAGCCGGTATTTCTCAGTTTAGTTCCACCCTTGTCTCTGCAACTTATCACCAAATCAAACATACTAAGAAAATGATACAAAGAAAAATAGCTGCAAAAAGACTTAGCACTGGTTATGTTGTGGCTTTAAAACTGATTTGTTTTGTTCCCTGCTAGAACAAAGTTTGTGAATTCAGTTAAATAATTGTTAAAATATATTCGTCATTTGTGTGTTTTTAGCTTTCTTCCTGTATGGGAAGCTTTTCAAAATTTGAAACATTAGTGCAGTGGTTTATGTTAAAATAAACCTTTGGGTTAAGTTGTCGCAAGCAGGTTTTTCTTGTGTTTCTTGTGAATTTGGTCTTAAATTTTTATTTCAAGTGGCATTAAAAAGTCTTAAAAAGTCTTGAATTTAACTCTCCTTATGCTGTAGGAACCCTGAGCTAGGTTAATACCGCGATCAAAGACATCTTTTTATGGAGACTGGGCGCCTCCTGAGGGAAGCATCTTTAATTAATGCCTCATAAAGGCATTACGCTGCCGTGCGTTATGCAGAAGTCGTTGGACAGAAGTTCTGGACTCGTTATGAATACTTTATGTATACGCCCAAAATAGAAAAAATCCATGGAAAGTTCAGCGTATGCCAGTGTTTTAGGAGATTTTGGGACGTCAGGCAGACGCTGGATAAATCATCACTGTGTGACAGGAGCTTTACTGAGACATTCCAGGACTTTATAAACTATTTTACTCATTTTTTTATTAACACAGTTGTCATTTATCTTCACAGCATTTTACATTAAAACATGAGCTTTGCTCATCAGTGGGACTTATTTTCAGTGTGGAAACGGGCGAGTTGGTCTCATAGCTCTCCTCTGCCCCTCCAGCCAGTCAGTGCTTTTAATACGGTTCCAATTAATTTAGTAATCATTCTTGCTTGTTGGATCTTAGGCTCATACATGGACTACAGTGGCAGAAGCAACAGAAGTGATGGAAATATGTCGCACAGTGATTCTCAAGGAAGCAACGACACCATCAAGATCCCCCCTCAGTTTGCTCCTCATTTCAAACCAAAGGTAAGACCAGAAACACGTGGCCTGGTTCTGCTGCTCTAACAGAAACATGGCCTGGTTCTGCTGCTCTAACAGAAACATGGCCTGGTTCTGCTGCTCTAACAGGAAACATGGCCTGGTTCTGCTGCTCTAACAGAAACATGGCCTGGTTCTGCTGCTCTAACAGAAACATGGCCTGGTTCTGCTGCTCTAACAGAAACATGGCCTGGTTCTGCTGCTCTAACAGAAACATGGCCTGGTTCTGCTGCTCTAACAGAAACATGGCCTGGTTCTGCTGCTCTAACAGAAACATGGCCTGGTTCTGCTGCTCTAACAGGAAACGTAGTGTCTAAGTTTGTCATCTTTTTATATATATTTACTGTGGGAACAGAAAGTGATATTTCAGTGTTTTGTTTTTTATTAAATATGCAAACATTTCTAAATTTTTGCTTTTTTCTTGCAAGATTAGGTGCCGAGTATAAATTAATGAGGAGCAAAATGAACCTTATTTATTTTAGCAAATGGCTGCAATGAAACAGAGTGAAAAATTTTATACGTTTTGGTACCGGCTGAATGTTCTGGCCTCATTGTCTTAAATAGAAGATAGAAGAAGAACTACAATTTATTTTGGCCCAGATTCTTTTGAAGTTGTAGGGAAGTCGTATTTAAATCCAAATCATTCTTGCTTAAACATGTATATAAATGTATTCTTTATCAGACCATATTGCCCCAAAATTTAGAAAATTTCTATTTAAAGAAAAAATCCTGTCTTAAAATGTGTGTTTCTTTTATGTTTTTCTTATGCAGGCCATTTAAACCTTTAAAAACTGCAGTTTAGTCGTACAGTGTGAACTTTATCTGCGTGCAACGATTGAAAAAAATCCCACAGTGTTCGACTGACTTTAGCTTCTATATTATAAGGTCCCTTTTCAGAGCCAGACTAAAGATAAAATAATGATTAAAAATGGTTTAAAGTCACAGGCTCTAAGCAGACGCTGCTGTAGTGATCAGACTTTGATGCCGTGCTCACATCAGCCCATGTGTGCATCCCTAGTTCTGATCAAATCCTGTCTGTGTTTCACTCACAGGTTGAACCGTTGAGGCCTTGGCCTTTATCCAGAGGGGGGAGTGTTGAGAGCCTTCCAGCTAGGATTCAGTGCTTTCAAACCCCCGACAGCAAACGAATGAGCGCCGACCTGTCTGAGCTGGATCCCACAATGCAGTTTGCACCCACAGGTACAGCCACACAGAAACAGGAAGGAAAACATATACGTTTACAGTGTCTGCTTTGGAAGATGTTGTTTTAAAGATTTTCCCTCAGACCTTACAGGTCATGTTTTAGAGGCTCAGACCAGCTGCAGTTTGAAAGCTCATCGTCTGCTCTGTTGTTTTCTAGGCTTTGATGATGCTTTAACAAACCCTTTCTGTGGCTCTCTCCAGAATGTCCCGTATTGCAGCCTTCTGATGTTGTGCTCTATAACATGTCACAGTTTGGCTCCACTGCTCCTGGAATGGGCAGGGTGCATGTGTTTTGTTTTTTCCTGCAAGTGCCCTTTCTGCTCTGCATGTACATGACCCATGTCAGCAGTCATGCTGCGGGCCTGAAGCCTGTCTCAGTCTGCATGGTTGTTGTGTACGCTGCTGTATGTGTGTATGTGTGTTTTTGCAGCACGCACCCCGTATAAACGAGGCCATCGCAAAACCGCGTCATTCGGGACCATTTTGGATGTCCCCAAGATCGTCGTGACAGGTATCACTGGACCACCGGGCTTCCCGGTGATTGGGCGCAGCTTGCTTGGCCGAGCCTGTGGTTTGCTGTGAGCTGCTTCTCCTAGCTCTTTGGTGGTCTGGCTGATGGCAGGGTTGGTGCTGGGGGAAGCACACCTCAGACGTCTCATGCCTCCTCACTTTCTGGTTTCACGTCTAGATGAAACGAGCAGAAACACGAGCTAATGTTGAGCTTTCTCATCTGAAAACCTAAATCTCTGAGATCGGTTCTAGCTGGCTTTCACTTCTAATCATTAACTGGAACATCCAAGCACTGCCTGTGAGTGGATCTCTATAAATCAAGATGAGATGACTCCGTTAGCTCGTGGCTCTGCTCTGTTATCTTCCTGTCTGACTACAACAAATCATGAGCATAAGGAGTAAATCAGCTCACCAGGTTCTTTGGAACTTGTCCTTGACTTTCATGCATAAAGGACCAAGATAAAAGCATGGCTTTTTTTCCTCTCCCATTCTCTCTGCACATCCATTAACTTTCCAAAAGTCATCTTGATTAATTTCCCTCACTTTGAGGGTCAGAGCTATTATTATTAGCAGAGATATGAATATGAAGGAATGGGGACAGCTCTGGATGTCAGGAAAGGCTTCAGCTCATCGGAGAGGCTCTGGATTCCACCCGTAGAAGGCAAAGATGGTCAAACAGTTTGTCACTGTTTGAAAATTATTAACTTATGACACCAATGTTGGTGCTGCAAGGAGAGAAAGATATAGGAATCTGCATTTTGAGGAAAATTAAACAGTAAGATTGTTTCCTTATTTAGTGCAAACCAATAATAAACAAAGACGATGATATCCCAGATAAATTGGTTGTTGAACAAGTTGCTTTAACCTGTTTTCCCTAATAGAAACAGGGTTCGCCTCTTTAAGTACAGCCAACCTGCTCGTTAGGGGCAGCGACTAGATTTGATTTAAGCCTAATTGATGTTTGTTGTGATCTATGTTTAGAAAATTGATCTGATTTGATTTCTAACTGTGCTATCATTGGTTGCTAGAGGTGTCAGTGGAAGGGGCGTGGCTTCCCTCAAACAAAGCAGCAGCAAAACAGATTAAACTCCAACAACAATAACAGCCGTCAGTCATTGGTGTTTTATTTTTTAAGGAAAAGTCAGTTTTGCGAGGAATAATCAATGGTTCATTATTTATACCTAAAACTAATATGTTCTCTGTGACTTAATGAATTTAGCATTAATCAGTACAAAAATGAAAACAATCATTTTCATTGTGATCACTGAGTCTTGGAGCGGCCATTTTTGCCCAAATATAGTAGCCCCTCCCTCCTGCCATCTTCCAGCAGTGACGTCACGGTGCTGTAAGCCTAGCGCCATTCTCCCCGCTTTACAAGCTAAATCAATGGGAACTACTAGACACATCTGCAATCAACAACAATTATTGAAGATTTCCAGAGGACTTCACCATTGAAATTCACCAGAGCTATAGTGAAACTGACAATGCCCACGTGCATGGCAGCTGGATGCTGGAATACATCGGGTAAAAGTGAAAAAAAAGAGTTATTCCACCTTTCTGATTCCTGATCCTCCACGAACGGGTTGGTCGTTGGATCGCCAACTTGAAGAGGGAGGATTTGCCATCGAACTTCTGGCCAGAGAAAAAACCCGTAATATGTAGCCAACATTTGGAAGAAGAATGTTTTCAAGATGACTTGGATAATAGCGCGTTGTGACTAGGGATGGGGATCGAAACCCGGTTCCATTTTTTTCAAAACCCGAAAATCAATAACGTTTGGGCTTATCGATACCACTATCGAGTCTGGTCGTTTTTGTTTTTTTTCTCCCGGAGGTCCTTTAACATATTTGTGTGTCCCTCGAGTCGCGTCACAGCATTTAAATCTAATCAATCCAATCACTGCAGCATGTACACCAATGTTTTGGAATGAAATTGTAAGCAAACAGATATTAAAAGTAAAACAAGTGAAGTCGGGCACTTAACTTTGCTCGCGATTCGAGAATGGCTGAACGGAAAAGACTCCTCCTCCTCCTGCTGCTGCCCCGCCGCACCACAGTCGGGCCCGTCTTAATCATCCACTCAGAGTACCACTGGTAAGCCCGCACACAGATTTTGTAGCTTGTCCGGTCAGTTAAAAATAGTAATTGTGAGATCCGTGTTGTAATCGGAAGCATACAAGCTAGTTAGCTTGAAAAGTAAATAAAGTTTCAGACGTGCTGCGTGATGATGTGTTCAGATTGGCTCAGTAAAACGACAATTAGGTTATTATGATGCGTTCAAATGTAACGTAAAGAAAACGGGAAATTTAGTTATTGGCGAGAAACATGAGTAATACAGTTGTATATTGCTCTAACTATTTTAGAATTTATAATTAAACTACTGATGCCAACATTTATTAAAAATTACATTTAATTTAAATTACAATTATTTATTTGTTAAATATTTTCCTAATCACTAAAAACATGATGAAAAGTGACAGTAGACAATACATTAACCAACAATTGTGAAAATATATTCTAGTTAGTTTTATGTCATTTCGAAGTGGCCTATTACAGAAAAGTATCGATAGTGGTATCGATAAAGACTCGGATCGATAAGGAGTATCGATAAAGGTATCGATATCAATAAATATTAACGATCCCCATCCCTAGTTGTGACAAACACCAGATACAGCACTGGGACTTGATCAACAGCCGATACAGCACCGTGACGTCACAAACCAGTAGATGGCAGTAGTGTTCTTTGTCAAACATGGATGCCTCCAGTAAAGCACATTCAAATGAAAATGACTCTTAGTTACAAAACTCTTAGCATTTATTGAATAGCATGAAATAATTTCATATTTAAAGAACTTTCAGAAGTTTGAGTTCTGAATATGAGCGAATTTTCCTTCCAATGATTTATTCAGGAAGAAAGAAGCAACCGGTACCTTGTGTTCTTAAATTTTCAGAGTTTTCTGACTGCTGCAGTTCAACACATCAGATGATGAACTCTGCTACGTCGTCGTTAATAAACATTAAGGCGTTTGTTCTCTTTACGGATCGGAGCAGCTGTCCAGCTTCAACTGGATCAGTCATTATGGACTGAAGGCCTCAGATTAATGAAGCACCAGTGAGAAAACTAGGGCTGATATCCAGCATGAATGTTACTGCTGTGATCCATAATACTTTCCTTTGCTTCCATTGCTTCTCTGCTTTAGTTAAAACCTCACTCTCATGTGCTGCATCACCCAACGTCAAAACTCACACAAACAGCAACAAGATGGCTCTAAGCATTGGTTTTGATACAGATATAAATAAGACTAACTCTTTTTCTGCCTTGAAAATATTTCATAGACAAATACCCAGCATTCAGTCTTTAAGCAGTTATTGGGAAGTGATTTGCAAAGTAAACCTGACTTGAAACTAGAATCATATGAAAAATTCATCTAAAATTTTAAGTTATTTCATTTAGAGATAAATCACAAAAGAAGATCAGCGTGAACTGCTGTTGGCAGTTTTGATCAGTTTGTAGATTTAAGGTTCAGCTGCGCCACATTGACATCCAGACCTGTTATTTAGCCCACAGCGTCACCTATTAATAAGTCAATATTCCAAACTCTGCTAAGTGTAAAGAAAGTCACAGTTCTGCAAAGTCAAGGATGAAGTGCTTTGTGTTGTTTGCTGTGCTGTTGTCTTATAGCAGGGTTGTCTGTAGCCAGAGTTAGATCAACTCCCCTTAGCAGGATTAGAGCTTGGTATAGAAATGTCATCTTTATGCTGATTTATCTTTAAATGTGGGGCTACTGTGTTTGGGGTCTGCCTAATGAAAACCAATAGATGGCTTCTAATCATGTGATGTCGGCCAAAGGAAACCTGAAGTAATATATATTATATGTTGATCTGACATCTTAGTCCTCTGTGAAGACTTTAAAAAACTACAAGCTGGCTGAAATCAGAGACATTGAACGCGTAAAATTTTATAGAAATAAGTCACTTCAGATGTCTGCAACAAACTTAATGTCAGGTCTAAGCACCTAAAACATCATATATACATACAGGGAAAGAAAGAAGGCACAGAGACAATTAATTTAGTTACTCGCGAGGAGAGTAGGAAGAGACTGCAGAGTTTACAATCTCCACCCCGCTCTGCAGGCTTCAGCTTTCTCCTTGTTATTTATTGAAGAAAAGGGGATGTCCCTAATTACACCAGCTGAGGTTTAACTAAAGGGAAGGGAAACAAAAGGATCTTACTTTAAACCTCAGCACATATGTTCAAACAAAGCATGTGGTTGTTTTACAATTGAACACATGTTTAGAAGAAACATGTGATAGAGGATGTTCCGGCCTCTTTCGCAACCCGTCCGTTGCATGACCTTTATCTGGAACGATCTTAAGCAAGAGTTAATAAAAGATGAATCACACATTATACATCATAATAGTTCATTAGAACACAACCCATGAAACACAAACGGAGTATAAATAAAATATTTCTAACACCTAAGGAGTCATGCACAAAAAAAGCACTTAAATGTAATGATATAAATCTATGTAGTAAGATAACTGTCAAAAAAACTTATGCGTACTTGTTTGAATTTTTACATTCAAGTCATTAATATATTCCATAATTTCAGATTCAGATTGGTAACTTTTCCACTTAAACATACATTAGATGTTTCATCTGTGAGAAAACAAGTTCAGAAGTAATGAATACAAGTTACTAAGGTATAAACATTGCAGCGTTTCTACTAAAAATCACACATTTTTCAAGTTAGAATCAAAACTGTACAAGTTTGCATCTACATCCCCTGATAAAGCTGTTACACTCCACACCAGTGGGTGGCAGTAATGACCGTGAAAGTTGTCTGTATACTGCCTTTAAATGAGAACCATCAATCAAACATTATACTGTCCACATGATGAAAAACATCTAATGTAACATTTAACAATCCATGGTTCTGTTTTCATCTTCTTGTTTAATGGCGGTTGGTGAAAAAGCTTCAACTGGTTTACTGCCACCAGCTGGTAAGGAGTGTAACAGCTTCACCATGAGTTACCTGTTGGAGAAAAGGATCCAAACAGCATGAAAAAGACTAAGGAAGATGTCAGGAATACAATGTTTGTGGAAATAATCCACAACTAAAACCCAGGGATAGTGGTTCACCTACATCAGGGGTCGGCAACCCAAACTGCTCAAAGAGCCATATTTGACCAAAGAACAGATCTGTCTGGAGCCGCAAAAAAGTAAAAGTCTTCTATAAGCCTCGTAAGGCAACATGGGCTCTAAGTGTTTTAGACCACTATAAAAAAAAGGACTATGTGGGCTTAAATATATAATAATTATTCATGATTAAATATTAATCCTGGAGCAGCTGTCACAGCATGAGGTGAGGGAGGAGCAGTGAACGCTCTCACCGCAAGGAATTCACCACGCCGTTAGTTTTGTTGCATTGATGAAATTATAGAAACAGGATAAAGGAATCTTTCTATGTTGGACGTGTTTCTGTTGGGAGGAGTTGATTGAGTCATGAGGAACCAAGCAGGAACTGACATCCATCAGAGCAGAGCTCTCTAACCCTGAAATCCCACATCCTCCATCACCAGCGTTCCTTGGTGTGATTTTTAATTTAGGGATTTGGGGGGAAAATAGCAGAAAGTTCCCATCCCTGCATCAGAGTGCTATCTGTTTTGATCTATAAATGCCAGAAGTTCTGCAATAATTAGCATGGCATATTTAGCATGCCTTCCATGGAAATGCCTTACCTAATGACTCTTTTTATTATTTCTCATTCCAAAGCAAACATGTTAAACTTCTGAAAAAGCTCAAGGCGGGCGCTAAAGAGCCCCGGGTTGCTGACCTCTGACTTACAGAGACAGGATGGTGAAAGGTTAGGAGAGAAATAAAGGAGGTACCTCTGGATGAGCATCTTCAGCAAGACTCCACATCCTCTGGTGATGAACTGGATCCAACCAGGAAAGGTTTTATGTTCTAAAACGTGATAGAAATACAGCCAAAAGTAACTGAAGTTGCACCTAAAGGTTGATCCCTAAAGGACTTGAGGGGAAGGAAAATGAACCTCACACAATAAAGATTAGAAACCGTTGAAAATCATCCATCATTAATTAGAAACATCCAGCTGTGGTCCTAAGCCTCTACCTTCATGGTCTGTTAGGATATAAACCAGTATGAGCCTCATGAGGAGCCGTAGCTGTGATTCTTCTCCCAGTGCAGCATCCTAACCCTCACCAGGCTCTCATTCTGTCCCTCCTTGTCTACAGGCGCCTGCGATCCTCAGAGGCGGCGGTCTGTCCAGGATCTATCAGACGTCGGCACAGAGTCCGGTCAGGTAAGGCAGCCTACACAACAATCCACTAGCTCCTAACATCTCATTTATGTGCAGATCCATTTAGTCGTACATTAGGAGAACATGGAGATTTCAATGGCAGTCCATGTGTCTTAACTCTCTTTAAACTCCAAAGTCTGAAACCAAGGAGAAGCACAGCTGGGTCATTGGTTTGGATGCTGCTGGATCAATGACTGGCCTCCAGGTGCTTAAAGAAGAAGTCCGGTCATTAAAGATAATCAATGGATCATTATTTATACCTCAAACTAATATGTTTGCAGTGATTTAATACATTTAGTGTTAATCAGTAAAAAGAAAAAAAGAAAAAATCAAAAATAATAATTTTCATCGCGATCACTGAATCTGGGAGCGGCCATATTTGCCCAAATATAGTAGCCCCTCCCTCCTGCCATCTTCCAGCAGTGACGTCACGGTGCGGTAAGCCTAGCGCCATTCTCCCCGCTTTACAATCTAAATCAATGGGAACTACTAGACACATCTGCAATCAACAACAATTATTGAAGATTTCCAGAGGACTTCACCATTGAAATTCACCAGAGCTATAGTGAAACTGACAATGCCCACGTGCATGGCAGCTGGATGCTGGAATACATCGGGTAAAAGTGAAAAAAAGAGTTATTCCACCTTTCTGATTCCTGATCCTCCACGGACGGGTTGGTCGTTGGATCGCCAACTTGAAGAGGGAGGATTTGCCATCGAACTTCTGGCCAGAGAAAAAAAACCCGTAATACAGGTGCTGGTCATAAAATTAGAATATCATGAAAAAGTAGATTGATTTCAGTAATTCCATTTAAAAAGTGAAACTTGTATATTATATTCATACATTACATACAAACTCATATATTTCAGATGTTTATTTTGTTTAATTTTGATGATTACAAATGACAACAAATGAAAATCTCAAATTCATCATATCAGAAAATTAGAATATTGTGAAAAGGTTCAAAATTGATGGCCCCTGGTGCCACACTCTAATCAGCTAATTAACTCAAACCACCTGCAAAAGCCTTTAAATGGTCTTTCAGTCTAGTTCTATAGGCTACACAATCATGGGGAAGACTGCTGACTTGACAGTTGTCCAAAAGACGACCATCGACACCTTGCACAAGGAGGGCAAGACACAAAAGGTCATCGCTAAAGAGGCTGGCTGTTCACAGAGCTCAGTGTCCAAGCACATTAATAGAGAGGCGAAGGGAAGGAAAAGATGTGGTCGAAAAAAGTGTACAAGCAAGAGAGATAACCGCACCCTGGAGAGGATTGTGAAACAAAACCCATTCAAAAATGTGGGGGAGATTCACAAAGAGTGGACTGCAGCTGGAGTGAGTGCTTCAAGAACCACCACACACAGACGTATGAAAGACATGGGTTTCTGCTGTCGCATTCCTTGTGTCAAGCCACTCTTGAACCACAGACAGCGTCAGAAGCGTCTTGCCTGGGCTAAAGAGAAACAGGACTGGACTGCTGGTGAGTGGTCCAAAGTCATGTTCTCTGATGAAAGTAAATTTTGCATTTCCTTTGGAAATCAAGGTCCCAGAGTCTGGAGGAAAAGAAGAGAGGCACTTCATCCACGTTGCTTGAAGTCCAGTGTAAAGTTTCCACAGTCAGTGATGGTTTGGGGTGCCATGTCATCTGCTGGTGTTGGTCCATTGTGTTTTCTGAGGTCCAGGGTCAACGCAGCCACATACCAGGAAGTTTTAGAGCACTTCATGCTTCCTGCAGCTGACCAACTTTTTGGAGATGCAGATTTCATTTTCCAACAGGACTTGGCACCTGCACACAGTGCCAAAGCTACCAGTACCTGGTTGAAGGACCATGGTATCCCTGTTCTTAATTGGCCAGCAAACTCTCCTGACCTTAACCCCATAGAAAATCTATGGGGTATTGTGAAGAAGAAGATGCAATACACCAGACCCAACAATTCAGAAGAGCTAAAAGCCACTATTAGAGCAACCTGGGCTATCATAACACCTGAGCAGTGCCACAGACTGATCGACTCCATGCCACGCCGCATTGCTGCAGTAATACAGGCCAAAGGAGGCCCAACTAAATACTGAGTGCTGTACATGCTCATACTTTTCATGTTCATACTTTTCATGTTCATACTTTTCAGTTGGCCAACATTTCTATAAATCCTTTGTTTTTATTGGTCTTCAGTAATATTCTAATTTTCTGATATGATGAATTTGAGATTTTCATTTGTTGTCATTTGTAATCATCAAAATTAAACAAAATAAACATCTGAAATATATGAGTTTGTATGTAATGTATGAATATAATATACAAGTTTCACTTTTTAAATGGAATTACTGAAATCAATCTACTTTTTCATGATATTCTAATTTTATGACCAGCACCTGTATGTAGCCAACATTTGGAAGAAGAATGTTTTCAAGATGACTTGGATAATAGCGCGTTGTGACAACCACCAGATACAGCACTGGGACTTGATCAACAGCCGATACCGCACCGTGACATCACACACCAGTAGGTGGCAGTAGTGTTCTTTGACAAACATGGATGCCTCCAGTAAAGCACATTCAGATGAAAATGGCTCTGAATTAAAAACACTGATCAGTTATTGAACAGTATGGAATCATTTCATATTTAAAGAACTTTCAGAAGTTTGAATTGTGAATATGAGAGACTTTTCCTTTAAAAGCATTGGCGCTCCAGCTGCCGGTTGTTCTATTGAGAGCCCACAGAGCCTCCTGGATAGACAATGAAACGCTTCCAGTAGAACTGATCCTCAGAGTCCAGCCCCCTTTGATCGAAGCCTGTTTCCTGGTCGCCATGACACCACATGACTGACAGATTAAACAGTTTATTTACTTCTGAAGACTGAGCCGCATCCTGATGTTCAGATCAGGTCCGATCAGCTCTCAGATCGAATGGAAATGTTGTTCATTGCTGTAGAGTTTAGATCTGTTTGCTCTTTTTGAATAATTAGTGGTTTATTCATGTTAGCAGACACCTTTTTTTACTATCGGTGACCTTTTAAGTCATGCAGGACATTTTGTGGCTTGGATCCATTTTCCCCTGTTATAAAAACGTTTTATTTTATTTAAAAGTGATTATTTGTCTGTGTGAAACGGTTTAATCATCCTCCTCTGCTGCTCTCCCTGTAAATCAGATTTAGACGTTTAAATGACACAATTCGACATTTACTAGATGGGAATTCAGTGGTAAATAAACGGTTTTGAATGCTGCATGTTTGGGATGTCTATGATGAGTTACTGCTTGCCGTCCAGTAGCAGGGAAGGGCTGCCATGGCAACCAAATGTGTTTCCTCTTTCAGGGGAGCAGGAACAGCAGCCGCTCCTCCAGTCCGAGCCTCAGGCAGCCTGACAAACCCAACAGAGGGTACGTCCCCCCCGAGGACCCTTCAGGTAAACCCCACTGCATGGTCTAAAACCTTGAATGTCTGCATCCCCCCACCCATTAATTAGTGATGAAGTTAATAGGTTCACAATTCTGCCAGAATGTTGGCGAAAGTTTACTGCCTTCCATACATGGCCTGAGACGACCTTTCCAACTTCCTTCTTTTAAAAAAGGGGAAAGTCTGGTTCTGCTGGAGGTTTCTTCCTGTTCAAAGGGAGTTTTTCCTCTCCACTGTCGCTACAAGCATGCTAAGTGTGAGGGATTGCTGAAGAGTCAATGAGTCGATGCAATCAGCTGGTTTTCCTTAGATAGAAAACTTTGAATCAGCCTGACTGGATGATCTGGTTGAATTGAATTCTCTGCCACTGCCTGCAGCTCCTCCAGAGTAACCTGGGGCTGATATACTGTGATGCTAATAAAGCTCTGAGTCATGGAGCTGATTTTAAAGCTGTTCTGGTTTTCTCATGGGCTGACGTCTGAAAGCAGATGATGTCATGGAGGAGTCTCCTTGGAGATGGGCTGAACTGATATGCAAATAATACTGCTTAACCATTTAATACATCTGGTATAATTGAGCTTCTACTTCAAATTTCTACGCTGCTCTATTGGTTGGCAACCCAAAATGACCAAAGAGCCAAATTGGACTGAAAGAGAAACAAAAAACAGATCTGTCTGGAGACGCAAAAGTTATAAGTCTCATATAAGCCATATGTGTTTAGTAGCCAACTATCAAAATGACTAATTAGGCTTTAATCCATAATAAACATTCATGATTAAATGTTTATTTTCCAGAAGTGCATCCTAGAGAAAATGACCCCAAGTGACTAATCTGCTGTACAATATTTGGTGCTTTAAGTTTAAGTTTCTATTGCACTATGAATGTATTATGTTTTCTTGCATCGATGGAATTATAGAAATACAATAAAGGAATCAGATTGTTGGTGTTATTTCTATTTGGTGGAAAAAAATGAAATGTGCATAATAGGAATAATAGTAATTTCAAACCTGCACCTGGAAATAAAAGGCTGTCCTCTTCAAACCACAGTAACAATACACTCCCCCCACCCCCCATTACAGGGGCAACAGGGCAATAAAACGCAGTTTGCAACAGCAGCTTTTTGATGAGGGGAGGATGCTATGAATATTACAATAAGCTGATATAATTTAATTAGTTCAGTTTATTTCTATAGCACAAATTCACAACACATGTCATCTCAAGGCACTTTCCAGTTCACCAGATCATCATTCAGATTGATTCAAAGTTTTCTATCTAAGGAAAACCAGTTGATTGCATCGACTCATTGACTCTTCAGCAATCCCTCACACTAAGCATGCTTGTAGCGACAGTGGAGAGGAAAAACTCCCTTTTAACAGGAAGAAACCTCCAGCAGAACCAGGCTCAGTGTGAGCGGCCATCTGCTGAGGCCGACTGGGGTTCAAGGAGACAGAAGCAGACATAGAAAAAGAAGCATAGATACAAAAGGCAACTGTAAAAGGCGGCCACGTCCAGGAAACACACAGCCAGGCAGACGAGCTCCAGGCCAACTCTCATGTCAAGAGTCTCAGCTAGTCACAGTCAGAGAAACAGGACTACACTGAAAAACAGACTGATCTCCACCATCTATAAACAAAGGTGTTGATGGCAGCAGCACAGCTGATATTTCTCTCCAGGATGGAGTCACAGCCAAACAGGAACAGACCAGATGAAGCTACTATGAGAAAAAGCAGAGAGAGCAGAACGTTAGAGATTGAACTAACAGATTCTGCAGAGTGGGAGAATAGAGATAGAATGAAGCAGAATTATGAAAAAGGGGTCCCTTTGTCCTCCAGCAGTCTAAGCATATAGCAGCATAACTACAGAGATAGCTCAGGATAACCTGAGCCACTCTAACTAGAAGCTTTATCAAAAAGGAAAGTTTTAAAGGGCTGAAACATGTCGCAGGCTATAATGCAAATAAAAATATTAATATTTATTGTTTAAATTTATTTATTATACACATTCTTACAGCATTGGAAAACGTAAAGGATGTTTTCTATATTAAAACTATATTATAACTATAATAAAACAAACAAAAATCCCTCTTTTTCCTTTTTGTTTGCTTTGATAAAGCTTCATGGAGCTGCAGGGGGGCGCTAAAGAGAAACCACAGGTTGCAGACCCCCGATCTAATCACTTCAGTTCTTAGATATACATTGAAATATGTTGTTTGAAGACATTTGCTGCAGATTTCCTGATGGTCTGAGATGAAGGGGCTGAAGGAATTTCTTTGCCGAGGATCTCAACAGTTGTCCTCTGTGTTGACAGAACCTAACGGCTCAGACAACTCCATCCCCATGGCCTATCTGACCTTGGATCACCAGCTGCAGGTACAGCTGCACTGCTTCATTGGTCTGTAGGAGATTCATTGCAGCCACCCGTAGTGAAGACGCTGTCTCCCTTTCAGCCCCTGGCTCCCTGTCCCAACTCCAAAGAATCCATGGCTGTGTTTGAGCAGCACTGCAAGATGGCCCAGGAATACCTGAAGGTCCAAACGGAGATCGCCCTGCTGATCCAGAGGAAGTACGTGAAGCAGCTGAAATATATTTATTTATCTGAGTTCTTGATCATTTTATTTTTTTATATTGTTTTCAATGTTTTGATTCGCATCGAGGTCAGGGAACATTCAAATTTGGGATTTTCCTTTTCAGTTGTCTTGGTTTATCTCACATTTGCTGCATTGGGATTAGTCTTCATGCAGCTGAGCAGAAATAAACAAACAGGACCTTTGTTTTTCTTAAAGGAATAGTCCGGTCAGCAAGGAATAAAAAAACAAATACGTTCACTGTGATTTAATGAATTTAGTGTTAATCAGTAAAAAAAAATGAAAATAATTTTGGCTGCGATCACTGAGTCTGGGTGCGGCCATTTTTGCCCAAACATAGTAACCCCTCCCTCCTGCCATCTTCCAGCAGTGACATCACGGTGCGGTAAGCCTAGCGCCATTCTCCCCGCTTTACAAGCTAAATCAATGGGAACTACTAGACACATCTGCAATCAACAACAATTATTGAAGATTTCCAGAGGACTTCACCATTGAAATTCACCAGAGCTATAGTGAAACTGACAATGCCCACGTGCATGGCAGCTGGATGCTGGAATACATCGGGTAAAAGTGAAAAAAAGAGTTATTCCACCTTTCTGATTCCTGATCCTCCACGGACGGGTTGGTCGTTGGATCGCCAACTTGAAGAGGGAGGATTTGCCATCGAACTTCTGGCCAGAGAAAAAACCCGTAATATGTAGCCAACATTTGGAAGAAGAATGTTTTCAAGATGACTTGGATAATAGCGCGTTGTGACAAACACCAGATACAGCACTGGGACTTGATCAACAGCCGATACCGCACCGTGTAGGTGCAGACCAGTAGGTGGCAGTAGTGTTCTTTGACAAACATGGATGCCTCCAGTAAAGCACATTCACATGAAAATTACTCTGAATTAAAAACACTGATCATTTATTGAACAGGATGGAATAATTTCATATTTAAAGTACTTTCAGAAGTTTGAATTCTGAATATGAGCGGACTTCTCCTTTAAAGTGGCTCTGATTTAGATGTTAAATCTATAGATTATAAAGCAAAGCTGACCCAGGTTTATCAGAAAGGTGAAATGGCTTCTTGCCAACCTTCCTGCTGTTTAATGTGACGGCAGCAGAGCGTGAGCCTGTGAAGGAGCTGCATGTTTCTGTGTGTTTGCAGGAAGGAGCTCATCGCTGAACTGGACCAGGACGAGAAGGACCAGCAGAACACGTCCCGTCTGGTTCAGGAGCACAAAAAACTGCTGGAGGAGAACAAGAGTCTGTCCACGTACTACCAGAAATGCAAAAAACAGCTGGAGCTGATCCGGGTGCAGCAGCAGAAGAGACAGGGCACATCGTAAGGACCCCCCCGACCCCACCTTCCTCCTCTAGCTGCCCCCCCGCCCCTCCATCCTCCTCCTCTGCAGCACGTCGCCTCCTGTTCCTCAGCACACAACCAACCGTCTGCCATCCAGCATGTCCTGCATGTTGCATCATAGACTCAGTGAGAAGATGTCTGACCTCTGTACATACATTTGACCCCCCCCTCCCACAACATCTTCTGACTACAGGCCGTAGCGCCCCCCCTCTCTGTCCCCTTCGGTTGAGCCCAGAACCAGCTGCGTACCTCAGGACAGACTCGGCTGAGTAGAAGATCCCGGCTGCTGTGGGTTTATTTCCTCGTCTGCTCTCAGGACCTCTAGGCTGCCTTGTGAGTGTTTGGAGGTCCCAGCAGCTGCCAGACACGTCGTCCTCCTCAGAATGTGAAAACAAGGACAGAGAAGTAGAGAATGATCCGAAGCTCTGAGGATGTTTGGAGCGTGCCCTGCTGTGTGCACGGCGCTCTCTGTTATGCAAAGCTCGTCCTTCTACCAGGTTCTGCAGGTTCTATTGACAGAAAGCTGTGGATTCCCTCATCGTTTGACCTTGCTGTTGTTTGGTGTGTAATGTTTTCCTACTTCCCGTCCAGCAGCTCATTGGGCGCATCGGGCGCCGTGCTGTTCTCCCATCGGAGCGGATCAGAACTGCCCTCGGCTTCGTCTGAGTTTGGTTTGGTTCACATGTTGCCTTAGAGGTCGCCTGCATTTAGCTGCTTGTTTTACGGGACGACCGATACGGAGAAAGAAGCAGAGGCGTTTTTAAATGGAAAGGATGCGGCTTAGAAATGTTTTCTGGTGAGAAATGAGCAGAAAACGTCTGTAAACCGATGGTGTTAATGTTTCCCAGGAACAGCCGTCCTGTTCTGCCTCACACACGTTTGCACAGCCACCGATTTTAGTCTGGTTTGATTTCTGTTTTTAGTCCTTTTTTAAAAGTGACGGACTTGAGGAGTCTTACTTTTAAAGTCCCCCCCACCACCCTCTCTTATGAGTTGGATGTAAAATAGAGGTGTTTCCTACTTCATGTGAAAGGGAGGGGAAGAAGGCATTCTGAAATAAACTGAATGGTGAAAGGATGTATCACTGGTTTCTACTTTCTAAACTAATCATTTAAACCAGGGGGAACCAATTAAAGAAAATAAACAACCAGTAAAGGTTTTAATTATATCTTACTTTAGACAGAATTTAACACTGAAATAAAATGAGGTTTTTATGCATCCATGTTATACACTGAATTATTAAAAGAAAAAATAGATTTTTTTTTTCCATTTTAAAAACTAAAGTGTTTTTTAAGTAGAGAACAACAATCATTCAGTTTGGTTTATAGACAATTTCCTGATTCCCATATTTTATAAAACACCTGAACTCAGCGTTTGTTGTTTTCTTTCTTTTTTCTGTCTTAATGTTGGCAGTGGGCTTTAGGCTGCCCTGCAAGGCTTTAAACCTGGGTTTAAATGGAGACTAAGCCATTCTCAAGCACATATCAAGGAGCTCATTTTGAGCCTGGATCCAGATTTATTGTTGATTCTGTTCATGGTGGAGAATCCTGCTTCACAGCAGCAGGTTGAGCCAAACATCCTCTAAATGTTCAGGGTCATCTTTGAGCACTCCATTTCACTTTTCTTTCACCAGTTCACTGCAGTTCTTCCAGCAGTCCACACTTTCTCTGCTCTCTTTTTCTCATCATCTTCTCCTTCTTTCCCATCGCCCGGCTTGCCACAGGTTTGCCTGCTGTGTCTAAAAGTAGCAGCAGCAGCAACCCAGACTGACAGCTTACTGGCTAATCTGGATCACATGCAGCCTGGAGCCGGACGCTCTGAAGGACTTTAATATTAACAGGAGAAGCTGTGCAAGTGAAATTAGACAGTTGTTGGACAACAAGCAGTCCACTAATCCGTGACCTCTGATTTAAAGCAAAAGAAGTTCAGTTTAATTGAGCAAACACCGACCATGAGATAATCAGAAAGAAGTGGAATAAAGATCCAGAGCCTCCAAAGATTTCTACATGTTCTAACTCTGCTAAACTGGAAATCAAACTCCATTTACTCTATTTGAGCTGGTGAATAAAATATCGACTATTGCAATTTGAAACATTTGGCCTCTCAAATGAGATATTTTGATATACTGCATTTAAAAAGGGATGGTATAAAAAAAACTCACCAATATCTAATATCAATAACGCACTCAGAAAAATGACTAATTAGATCAACTCAATTAAAGCTACAGTGTGTAATTTTCAGCGACATCTAGCGGTCAGACTGCAGACTGCAGCAACATGAACATCTCCCCCCCACCGCTTCTCCCCCCAACAGTACGGCGAGCGTTACGGGACAAAATGTCTTCCACGACGTCCGCATCACTTTCTCAAGTGATGAGGTTTGTTTACATAGATAATTTTAATACTGCCATCTATTGTTCAGTACCGTCTCAGTTCATCTCTCTCAACTTGCCGTAGTTACTTTCGAGCGTAATGGGCGATCTCGCGATCGCTAGTTTGTTGGCTCTGCGCTGCCGTAGCGCAAAGATGTCTGCCTCCATGGCTGCGAGACCCGCTCCTATGTAATTATAAATAACGAATTCTAAGGCAACGCAAATATTAAGGTTAAGAGGCTGAGCTCGTAGATGATGATAAATAACATAGTTATGTATAATATATTACATTTCTGACTGTATATCCCTGTAATTATTACACACTGTAGCTTTAAAATTATTATCTATATGTGTCCCTGCATTGAATTATGTTGAACTAACTCATAACAAATAACCCAATGACAGATGAACTGGTTTTATCAACTCAGTCGTATTTAAGAGCAGAAAGAGTTTTGGTTAGCAAACATGCATAAGTGTCTCATGATCAAAATAACCTGGATAAAGACAGAGCTGCCTGTGATCACGGATCGTAGCTTTAAGATAACTTCTGGTTTCATCTGTGTGGACTTGGACAACAACTAATCCCACTGTCTCTCCTTTAGACGCTGAGTGACCTGCCATGCGGCTCCTTCTCTAGCTAAAGTGGTCTGACCGTTAAAGGCAGTAATCTTATCAAGGACCAGTATTAATGAGCATTACACAGAAACTTAAAATTCTTGAGTTGACTTGAAAGACTGTCCTTGGAAGCTAATATAGCAGCCTTATAGTAAATGCAGGAATTTCATGGTACTTTGCATTATACAAGAAATGTTCATACAGTAGCAGCCATTCAAAATGGCCCTTCCCAGTCAAACGCCAGCAGAATGGCAGCTCTGCAGCTGCCACTGAAATCACCAACATCCAGCCACTGCAATTACCTCCTGTAGCATATCTTTTTTACTCTGACTCCACCCTTTCACTGAATTACAGGGTCTGACCAGGAGATGGCGCTTCTCTTTAGATCTTAATGTCCACCAATAGAGAATATTTTGGTACAAAGATTGATGTTTAAAAAGGGATTGTAGGGGACCAGCCAAGGACCCCTCAAGGAAAATGGAGACATTTTGAATGACTATTACTGTACATGTTGTGTTACATCAATTAAATATTACTAAATAATCCTGGAACCAGTTACTTTAGGTATATTGAATGGTAAGAAATGGTGTCACCTCAAAGAGGGGCTCTGATTTAGATGTTAAATCTATAGATTATAAAGCAAAGCTGACCCAGGTTTATCAGAAAGGTGAAATGGCTTGCTTCCTGCAGTGACCCCCAACCCCACTAGCAGATCAATGTTTTTACTCCAAACTAATTTCAGGGACATTTTTTTTTCTTATGTCGTAAATCATCAGGAATCAGTTGTGTCAAAAGTTTACACATTTGTTACTTCAGTAGAAGTATAGATACTGCAGTTTAAAAACACTCTGGTAAAAGTTGAAGTATCAACTTGACCTCTTTACTCAAGTAAAAGTAAAAAAGTATGTGCTCCAAAAACTACTTAAAGTACACTATATTGCCAAAAGTATTTGCTCACCCATCCAAATTATTGGAATCAGGTGTTCCAATCACTTCCATGGCCACAGGTGTATAAATTCAAGCACCTAGGCATGCAGACTGTTTTTACAAACATTTGTGAAAGAATGGGTCGCTCTCAGGAGCTCAGTGAATTCCAGCGTGGAACTGTGATAGGATGCCACCTGTGCAACAAATCCAGTCGTGAAATTTCCTCGCTCCTAAATATTCCACAGTCAACTGTCAGCTGTATTATAAGAAAATGGAAGTGTTTGGGAACGACAGCAACTCAGCCACGAAGTGGTAGGCCACGTAAACTGACGGAGCGGGGTCAGCGGATGCTGACGCGCATAGTGCGAAGAGGTCGCCAACTTTCTGCAGAGTCAATCACTACAGACCTCCAAACTTCATGTGGCCTTCAGATTAGCTCAAGAACAGTGCGCAGAGAGCTTCATGGAATGGGTTTCCATGGTCGAGCAGCTGCATCCAAGCCATACATCACCAAGTGCAATGCAAAGCGTCGGATGCGGTGGTGTAAAGCACGCCGCCACTGGACTCTAGAGCAGTGGAGACGCGTTCTCTGGAGTGACGAATCGCGCTTCTCCATCTGGCAATCTGATGGACGGGTCTGGGTTTGGCGGTTGCCAGGAGAACGGTACTTGTCTGACTGCATTGTGCCAAGTGTAAAGTTTGTTGGAGGGGGGATTATGGTGTGGGGTTGTTTTTCAGGAGTTGGGCTTGGCCCCTTAGTTCCAGTGAAAGGAACTCTGAATGCTTCAGCATCCCAAGACATTTTGGACAATTCCATGCTCCCAACTTTGTGGGAACAGTTTGGAGCTGGCCCCTTCCTCTTCCAACATGACTGTGCACCAGTGCACAAAGCAAGGTCCATAAAGACATGGATGACAGAGTCTGGTGTGGATGAACTTGACTGGCCTGCACAGAGTCCTGACCTCAACCCGATAGAACACCTTTGGGATGAATTAGAGCGGAGACTGAGAGCCAGGCCTTCTCGTCCAACATCAGTGTGCGACCTCACAAATGCGCTTCTGGAAGAATGGTCAAAAATTCCCATAAACACACTCCTAAACCTTGTGGACAGCCTTCCCAGAAGAGTTGAAGCTGTTCTAGCTGCAAAGGGTGGACCGACGTCATATTGAACCCTATGGATTAGGAACGGGATGTCACTTAAGCTCATATGTGAGTCAAGGCAGGTGAGCAAATACTTTTGGCAATATAGTGTATATTAGTATAAAGTAACCTTTAAAAAAAAAAAACAGCCAGATGCCACTATATGAATTATAAGTTCAATTTTCGCCTTTGCTAAAAATTCTTAGAGATAGGGCCAAGGGCGCAGATAGCGTGTACGTCAGGGGTGTTCTGACGTACACAGATTCGAATGACCCTCAATCCGTCCCCCCCACTTTTATAAAAAAAAAAAAAAAAAACATACGGCGAAACTCACAGAAAATCAAAAAGCTTTTTCTAATTTACTGCTTTGCAACAACAACATAAAACAGTCAGATCATAGACGGGCAATCGTTTTGTTTAACTGCAGGCTGCCTGCGTCGTTTCTAATCTAAAAGTTATCCTGTCTCTGGCGTTTACGTCTCGAGCCTGGTTTCCATGGTTACTCAGACAGACAGTAGTGGCGGGACAGTTCCCAATTCCGGAGTCCGGACATCAACATGAGGCCAGCCAAACCGAAAAAACAGAAAACAATTGCATCCTTTTTTCGAAAAGCACCAACTGTAAGTAAACTGTTCATCATATCACCTTGCATTTTTTTGGTTGTCTGTTCGATGTCGCCGTGGAAAAAAGAGTAGAGACGGTCAGTGAGAATAGCGTGAAGAGAGGTGCCAATGTCATAAGGCGGGAGGCTGGGGGAATCGACTGGCATTTATTTATTTATAATTAAATCGACTGTTCCGACTTTTTCTGGAGTTGTTGGGGGTCTTTCAGAAATGTGTAGGCTACAGTAGGCTACTTGAATCCGTATTTATGCCAAGCCAAATGGTTTAGGTTGTTACAGGTTGAATCATGAGAAAAACGAACTTCAAAGCTAGACAAATTCCACTACACAGGGGCGGATTTAGGAAATTTGGGGCCCTAGGCAAAGACAGGCATGGGGCCTTCTGAATTGAGAAGACAACATATAG